GTGTCCCCCTATTGTTTTATAGAGGGGACACTTTTGCATAGTGTCGTTTTGCTATGCGTTTCGGTCCCCCCGGACACTTTCGCATGGGGGGACCGAAACGCATATTGCACCGGCCCTGTAAGTGAATAGCGTCTTTTCAGAAAACATCAGGCCAAGAAATTTTATTGGAGACAACCAAATATGCCGTGACTTATTTTTGAGAAAAAACGGTACTCAGCTCGACGATAAAACAAGTGCATTGAAAATAGACTTGAAATGAATGTGCTTGTCATATCAACTTAATATTTGGATTTTCTCGAGCTTTGTTTTGATTTTAATAAAAGAAGAACTGATTCTATATATTAACATTGCATTGACAAAAAATCCTGAAATCACTCATGTTGGTATGATATGAAATATAGACCAGCTAATCCTTAGTCGCCGTTTCAACATGTTTCAATATAAGAGCTAGAAACTTCTCTGGTGGAGCCACTGATGACATGTTTGATTATCTAAAACCATTACTCAAAAAAGCTCCTGGGAAGATAATTTTAATAATTGGGATTAATGATATGAATAAAAAAACACCTGAAGAAATACTTAAGAGGCTTAAAGAGCTGGAATAATTTACATGCAAATCTACCAAAGTGTCATATTATAATTTCTTAAATTATACTGCGAAAGGACAAACCAGATCTTGACAGAAAGGGGAAGATATTGAATGACATACTCAATCAAGTAGGATGCGACATCTTGCGACAAAATACAATTCAGGTGGAGCACTTGGGAAGACATGGTCTCCACCTGAATCAGCGAGGAAATTCCCAAAAGCAAAAAACATCATAAGTAAGCTTAAAATCTTTCTTAATGAGAAATAATGCCTGACACCAAGATAAATATCCATCAAAGCATTTTGTACAAAAAAATGTCGATAAAAATTTCATAGAAGAAGTAACTGTCCCTGAAAGGACTAACACAATAAATAAGGTCATTAACAAGAATAGCCATTTAGAACCCCAGTCTTATAACGTGACTGACAACAAATACAAGAAACTAAATGACGACTCACAAACAAAAATGGTCTTATACTAGGCTATATTAATATAAATTCTATCAAAAACAAGATTGAACTTTTTAAGCCTATAATATCAGGAGGTAGAGTTGATGTAATCACCATAGCTGAAACAAAACTTGATGAGACCTTCCCTACCAGCCAGTTTGTTATTGGAGGCTTTATGAGACCATTTCGACTCGACCGTAACAAAAATGGAGGTGGACTATTAGTTTAGATAAAAAAAGGCCTTCCGGTTAAGCAGCTCTTAAATTACAATTTTCCTCCAGGCATTGAAGGGATAAGCTGTAGAAATTAATCTAAAAAAAATAAAAAATGGCTACTTTTCTGTATGTATCGCCCACCATCTCAGTGCCAACAATTTTTCTTCGGTGAAATAGAAAATGCCTAGACTGCTTTAGCAACAAATTTGAAAACTTTCTGTTAATGGGGACCTTGAACTGCAAAATAAGTGACAGTGGAATAAGATATTTTGTGGATAGGTACAACTTTGCTAGTAATGTCAAGGAGCCAATCTGCTTTAAAAGTCTAGATGCATTGATTTAATTCTAACAAATAGAAAATCCAGCCTTAAAAGTACGACAATATTTGAAACGGGGCTTTCTGACTTTCACACAATAATCCTGACAGTTCTAAAAGGCGGGTATATCAAGAAAGGTCCGAAGATAATTCAAAACAGAGACTATACAAAGTTTAGCACGATAAACTTTACACATGATATTGCTAATACCATAAACGATTTATCAGGAAAAGTGTCCTTTGATTGTATAAACACAAACTTGACAAAAGTACTTTATCAGCATGCTCCAATCAAGAAAAAATATGTTCGTGCAAATGATGGTCCGTTCATGACCAAAGAACTGCTAAAAGCAATAATGCACCGGTCTAAGCTAAAGTATAAATACAACAGGAATGAAACCAACGAAAACTGGAACGCATACAAGCATCAGAGAAATAAATGTGTCGCAATACTAGGAAAATCTAATAATAGAAAGTTCTGGAAAACAGTCAAACAAGTTCTCACGCATAAAGTACAAGTATCACCAATGATAAATTTTCTGGAAAATGGAGAACATCTAAATAACGACCGAAAAATTGCACAAATCCTGAACGAATACATTACAAATAGTACCGATGAGCTAGAAAATTAAAGAAAATGAAGCCAACCCCTCCCTCGCAATAAGCATCGAAGATCCTATAGATAAATCAGTATACAAATACAAAACCACCCTAGTATTAAAATGATCAAAAAGCAATGGGTACCCCCAGGAACTATTTGAGTTTAATGAGGTTGATGCCATCGATGTTTTTGATCAGCTCAAGAGACTGAACCCAAAAAAGCTTCACCGACTGATAGCATGCCCTCAAAAATACTTCAAGAAAATTGTGAAATTTTTGTCCCTTTTCTTCATAGTAGTTTTACTATATGCGTAGAAAACAGCAGCTTACCTGAAAGCCTCAAAGAAGCTGATACATCACCCAAATTTAAGAAAGACGATGCTCTTGTTAAGAAAAACTATAGACCTATTTCAGTCTTGCCATCAATGTCTAAGATATTCGAGCGACTAATGGAAAAGCAGATAAAGCCATATGCTAATACCTTTCTAAATCTTCTAATCTGTGGTTTTAGGGAAGGGCATAGTACACAGCATGCCCTATTACGTTTTGTTGAAAAATGCAAAAAGGCATTAAACAACAGAGTGAGCAAACGGGGTTATTTTCGTAATCTCTCCAAAGCATTCGATTGCTTAAACCACGATCTATTAATTGCTAAACTAGAGGCATATGGTTTCACAAGAGAAGCTTTAAATTTCATATTTAGCTTTCTGAACTCTAGAAAGCAACGTGTTAAAGTTAATGGATCTTACAGTGAATGGAAGAATATAAGCCATGGAGTGCCTCAGGGTTCTGTCCTCGGACCTCTCCTTTCCAACATTTACAGAAACGATTTGTTTATGTTTGTGTCTGACAGTATGGTTGGTAACTATGCGGATGACAGAACTTAATATGTCAGTGATCATATGCACAATGAAATAATTAGAAAGTTAGAAAATGATATTACCATTTTATCTAAACGGTTCTGGGAAAATTACATGAAATTAAATGGAGATAAATGCCATCTGATGTTTTTCAGCAGTATAAAGAACACCAACCTATCGATAAGAATTGACAACGAAGTAATTGCTGAGAGTTCAGAAGAAAAATTACTGGGTATTATATTAGATAAGACTTTATCCTTCAAATCAAAAGTAACATCCTTATACAAAAGAGCTAAACAAAAGGTACATGCTCTATCCCGTATCGCCAAGTATATGGATACTGTAAAACTAAAACAAGTTCTGAAGGCCTTCATCCTTTCCCAGTTCAACTACTGTCCTCTTATATGGATGTTCTTTGAGAGACGCTTTAATGATAAACAAATCACCTCCATGAGATGGCATTACAAATCGCCTATAAAGATGACAATTCTGATTTCACAACACTTTTAGAAAAGGACAATGCTGTGAAAATTCACACAAAGAATTTAGTGCTTCTCATAACTAAGATATGTAAAACACATAATAACCTTAATCCAGCATTTATGAAAGACATATTTATGGCTAGGCGCCCCTAATAAAGCTTAAGGAGCGGAAGCCAAATACATCTTCCAAAAGTCTGAACTACCACTTTTGGAATAGAAACCATTTCATATCCAGGGGGAAATTATAGCATAAGTTGTCCACAGAAATAAAAGAGTCATCAAATCTTGCCCAGTTTAAAACTCGAATATTTAATCAATTCATTAATCAATTAACTTTTTTTATATTTAATTATAAATTATTCATTCTTAGTCGCTTTTTATTCTAAATTTTTATAAAGTAGGCATGAATTAGCTTGTACATAAATTGTACATAGATAGCTATATTATACCCGCCTACTGTAAATAAATTGATTAATATTATCATTATTATCATTATTATTATTATTATTTTTATGCTTATTCGAACATTGGAAACAATTGGTAACTGATTGGTTTCAAAGAGTATCCAATTGTGACGTAATCAAAACATCTTTCTTAAGAAAATTTTGATCTCATAATCAAAAAGATAAATGTGAAATTGTTGAAATGTGTGCAAAATCAACAAAATACACTGAAATCTGAGTGATACATGGGCAATCAAAGATATAATATTTGCTGGCGGAGTACTGCTCTTTTAGCTTGATACATAAAGTTAAGAACCAAGACCAAATTACATTGATTTGATGGGGAAAGAGCCTGCGCTCATGTCGTAATATCTCAACCAATTCGTAACAGCATCAACTGATTTGACATATTTTAATGGTATTTTATATTACTCTTTCGGGTTATGCCAATGTCATAGGCACAGACTTTCGGGGCTCCGGGATTTGAACCCTTCCTGACGAAAGTTTGGTGAAATGGATAATTGGTAGCCAATCAATCATTCCGGAAGGTTCGTTCCAGAAGGTTCGAGAAAGCGGAAGTAATTATTATTGCAGAAAATAGAATTTAACTAATACTACGAATATACTAGAATGATGTGAAAGATTAAACTAGAATGTTCTACAGTATCTTGACAGTCTGGTAAGAGTGTATATTTCCAAAATAGCTAGGCCTCTTTCTACCTTTTTGCCTCGGTAGTCTCCATTAGCAATTGCAATTCGGCAATGAGCAGGTAGATGGTTCTCAATTTAGAATCAATTGTTATATGTCCCAAGCTTGTAGCTGAATTGAAACAATCATATCTCAAATTTAGAATTCATTACTACTGATTCGTTAACCTGTCAATTCAATTTCTATTGGCATCACTTCAAGGAAAAATCCAAGGGTGTCAATAGGGGGCACCAAGCCCAATCAGTATGGCCCCCTTTTTACGCATTACTTGCTACTACCACCCGCATACTGAGTTCGCGCCAGTTTAGATATTCTGATAGAAAAACGACAGTTAAATACATCTATTGGTTACCCTTCATCATAAGATATCACTGTGTACATAAGCATGAAAAAGAAGAAAGAAATATTGTACAAATAATGGTAGCTATTGGCTAGTGGATTTTTCATAACAATGCGAAAATCCGTTCCTAAAAAAGTGAATTGAATTTTTTTATCGATGATGTTGCCATATCATTTGCAACATATGAAACCTACATCAATAGCGCAAATTTTCATGCTTACAACGCCAAAGATTCCTGCCCAAAGAACGACATGTAATGTTTTTATGGTACACCAAATCAGATGACTAGAACCACTATAGATTTTCATAACAATCATTTTTCGACGAGCTTTACATATTTAACGAGCAAATTTTCATAGCAAGTACCGTCAATTTGGCCTTTGCTGAAATATATAGCACCCGAATAGCTTTTTCGAATGTTTGGAACTACTATAAGCGGACTTATTCCTGTATATCTTGCTCATTGAAAATGTCTAACATTGCATTTCATTTTTAAGCCAGATTTACCCGGATAGATCTATCGCGCTCCATGTACCAAATCAGTTTGTTGCTTCAATATGTAATGCCAAAAGTCAAATCTATAAACAGTCAAAAGTTTTTAGAATCAACATTTCAGAACTTGTACAATTTTTAAAAATCAAAATGTCAAGAAATTTTCAGACACTTTTGTCAGACAAACTGACAAAGTTAAAAGAGTGTCGACTTTTGAAACAAACAATTCGAAAATCTGACTATGGCATCGGTGATATGGTCGTATTTTTTTTAAGTAAGACTTTGCTGAATTCATTAAATGCGGCCGTGTAAACTAGGACAAAAAAGAGTCCGCTAAAGCCTTCTTCGTCTCTTGACTCAACATCAAAGTTCGCCTTGGTAGGATCGATATTCCAAAATGCTCCTTTTTTAACTGATATACTGTGAGAATATTTCCAGTTGCACCACGCACCTTTTCTCGTAAAATCACATGTATATTTTGCGGAAGTCATTGTTTCCAAAGGCCGCATTGCATTTTGGGCACTTGCGCTGTCGTGTATCGTACCGTGTTTTCAGGCATTCCATACAAAAGACATGAAAACATTTGGTGATCACAGCATCCTTCCGCCTCGTGTTACAACATGGACAGTTGAGCTTGGCCTAAAATCACAAATGTTGACGTTGCATAAAACGTGATCAAATGGAGACAAATATCAGATAATTGACATCTGGTAAGCAACGGATAATTCAATACATCTTATCTAGTCTAATGAACTCCACAGCTATGAATGAAAAAACATAAATAAGCAACATATCATAATGAAGCTATTTTGCAACCAGTCATTCAATACTTATGTCCTAGATTAGATTAGAACTCAACTCAGAAAGAAACCGATTGGAATTTTTTATGTTGTTGCTGTTGTTGTTGTTGTTATAGTTATTGTTGTTGTTGTTGTTGTTGTTGTGGTGGTGGTGATGGTTGAGAATTAAGTTACGATGATGGTTGGATGAAAAGAGTTGCGTTTCGAGATGACTGATTTCTGCGTGCATATCTAACACGGCGACGAGGATGGAATTTGGAATTTTTTGATGGATAAAATTATTTTCCTAAGCTATTCCTTTACAACAGCATCAGACTTGGCAGTTAGCACATGTAGATCTACGGTGCATTTAGTGAATTACAGTATAGACAAAGGCAACCGGTCTAACGACATGTCAGCTCTCCGCTAGACTGAGAGGTGTGTTCTTTTCGTTACTGCGATTCAAACGTTTTCGATAATAAGCATGCGGTATTTGATAAATTGGCTGACCAACTAGCTGACGAAGGAAAGATAACCACATTTTCACGCACACCTTAGCAAGCCTAGTACTTTCAGCAGTAACTTTTAATGGGCTGAGTAGATAATACAACATACCTTGTACATTTTCACCTCCTCCACTAAGATCTCGTCAGAATAGCCTAGGTACTCAACCCTTTTCAGCTTTTCAACCTTTCTTTGCAGGCTTGCATTTTCTTCGAAAGCTCTACGACACTTGAACGATTCTTCCTCTAACCGCGTGTTCTTCTCTTTCAATGGAATAGAAACCATTTCATATCCAGGGGGAAAATTATAGCATAAGTTGTCCACAGAAATAAAAGAGTCATCAAATCTTGCCCAGTTTAAAACTCGGATAGAAAAATGGAAAGGAGAAGAATGTTGTTGCAAATTATGTAGATGCTACGTAGCTCAGGTTGGATTCCTTGACTAGAAAATAAAGAAAATAGTCGTCTTGGTGTGAAAATATTAAAACATCTTTTAACGATAAACGCGTTGTAAAATTTAAAAGGTTTTTTTCTAATCTATCATCTCATTTCCTTCATTAATCAATTAATTGTTTTATATATGTAATTATTATTTTTTGTATTCTAAATGCTTTTTATTCTAAATTTTTGTAAAGTAGGCATAAATTAGCTTGTACATAAATTGTACATAGACAGCTATATTATACCCGCCTACTGTAAATAAATTGATTAATATTATCACTATTATTATTATTATTATTATTATTATTATTATTAGTATTATCATTATTATTTTTATGCTTATTCGAACATTGGAAACAATTGGTAACTAATTGGTTTCAAAGAGTATCCAATTGTGACGTAATCAAAACATCTTTCTTAAAGGACAAGTGACACGCTTTTGGCGCCAAATTCTTTTCTTCTTTTAACTTTAAGTAAAATGCTGTATGAGAGTGTTGTTGAAATATTTTTCCTTTCTGATTTCATTTTCCTACTTAAAAACCCTTTTCAAATTATGGCGGGAAATGAATCACGTGACACCGTGACGTAGATTGTGATAATTTGTTATTGCTGCTACTGGTATACAGTACAATATTAACGTTTACCACACGCTTCTAAACGAATTCAGTTCGTCTGGACCTGTCGCGTTGTGTTTCGTAAACTCTCTATTAATGACAGGAAAATTCCGAGTTATCACAATGTACGTCATAGGGTCACGTGATAAAAAGCAAAATCGCGCCCCCTGCGCCCCCTGATTAGAATTTTTTTTTCTAAACCAGGAAAAACTTACTTTTAAATGATGATCTATAAGTTAATGAAAAGAAAAGATAGGGTGAAAAGTGTGTCACTTGTCCTTTAAGAAAATTTTGACTTCAAAATCAAAAAGATAAATGTGAAATTGTTAAAATGCATGCAAAATCAACAAAATACACTGAAAATTGAGTGATACATGGGCAATCAAAGATAGAATATTTGCTGGCAGAGTACTGCTCTTTTAGCTTGATACATAAAGTTAAGAACCAAGACCAAATTACATTGATTTGATGAGGAAAGAACCTGCGCTCATGGCGTAATATCTCAACCAATTCGTAACTGCATCAACTGATTTGACATATTTAATGGTATTTTATATTACTCTTTCGGGTTATGCCATTGTCATAGGCACAGATTTTCGGGGCTCCAGGACTTGAACCCCTCTTGACAAAAGTTTGGTGAAATGGATTATTGGTAGCCAATCAATCATTCCGGAAGGTTCGTTCCAGAAGGTTCGAGAAAGCGGAAGTAATTATTATTGCAGAAAATAGAATTGAACTAATACTACGAATATACTAGAATGATGTGAAAGATTAAACTAGAATGTTCTACAGTATCTTGACAGTTTGGTAAGAGTGTATATTTCCAATACAGCTAGGCCTCTTTCTATCTTTTGGCCTCGGCAGTCTCCATTAGCAATTGCAATTCGGCAATGAGAAGGTTAACGGTTCTCAATTTAGAATCAATTGGTATATGTCCCAAGCTTGTAGCTGATTTGAAACAATCATGTCTCAAGTTCAGAATTCATTGGTACTGATTCGTTAACCTGTCAATTCAATTTCTATTGACATCACTTCAAGGAAAAATCCAAGGGTAACAATAGGGGGGCACCAAACCCCATCAGTATGGCCCCCTTTTTACGCATTACTTGCTACTACCACCCGCATATTGAGTCCGCACCAGTTTAGATATTCTGATAGAAAAACGACAGTTAAATACATCTATTGGTTACCCTTCATCATAAGATATCACTGTGTACATAAGCATGAAAAAGAAGAAAGAAATATTGTACAAATAATGGTAGCTATTGGCTAGTGGATTCTTCATAACAATGCGAAAATCCGTTCCTAAAAAAGTGAATTGAATTTTTTTATCGATGATGTTGCCATATCATTTGCAACATATGGAACCTAAAACAATTGAGCAAATATTCATGCTTGTAACAAGGTATACGCCAAAGATTCCTGCCCAAAGAAAGACATGTATGTTTTTATGGTACACCAAATCAGATGACTAGAACCACTATAGATTTTCATAACAATCATTTTTCGATGAGCTTTACACATTTAACGAGCAAATTTTCATAGCAAGGACCGTTAATTTGGCCTTTGCTGAAATATATAGCTTTTTCGAATGTTGGGAACTACTATAAGCGGTCTTATTCCTGTATATCTTGCTCATTAAAAATGTCTAGCACTGCCTTTCATTTTAAAGCCAGATTTACACGGATAGATCTATCGCGCTCCATGTACCAAATCAAATTTTTGCTTCAATATGTAACGCCAAAAGTCAAATCTATAAACAGTCAAAAGTTTTTTAGAATCAACATTTCAGAACTTGTACAATTTTTAAAAATCAAAATGTCAAGAAATTTTCAGACACTTTTGTCAGACAAACTGACAAAGTTAAAAGAGTGTCGACTTTTGAAACAAAGAATTCGAAAATCTGACTATGGCATCGGTGATATGGTCGTATTTTTTTAAGTAAGACTTTGCCGAATTCATTAAATGCGGCCGTGTAAACTAGGACAAAAAAGAGTCCGCTAAAGCCTTCTTCGTCTCTTGACTCAACATCAAAGTTCGCCTTGGTAGGATCGATATTCCAAAATTCTCCTTTTTTAACTGATATACTGTGAGAATATTTCCAGTTGCACCAGGCACCTTTTCTCGTAAAATCACATGTATATTTTGCGGAAGTCATTGTTTCCAAAGGCCGCATTGCATTTTGGGCACTTGCGCTGTCGTGTATCGTACCGTGTTTTCAGGCATTCCATACAAAAGACATGAAAACATTTGGTGATCACAGCATCCTTCCGCCTCGTGTTACAACATGGACAGTTGAGCTTGGCCTAAAATCACAAATGTTGACGTTGCATAAAACGTGATCAAATGGAGACAAATATCAGATAATTGACATCTGGTAAGCAACGGATAATTCAATACATCTTATCTAGTCTAATGAACTCCACAGCTATGAATGAAAAAACATAAATAAGCAACATATCATAATGAAGCTATTTTGCAACCAGTCATTCAATACTTATGTCCTAGATTAGATTAGAACTCAACTCAGAAAGAAACCGATTGGAATTTTTTATGTTGTTGCTGTTGTTGTTGTTGTTATAGTTATTGTTGTTGTTGTTGTTGTTGTTGTGGTGGTGGTGATGGTTGAGAATTAAGTTACGATGATGGTTGGATGAAAAGAGTTGCGTTTCGAGATGACTGATTTCTGCGTGCATATCTAACACGGCGACGAGGATGGAATTTGGAATTTTTTGATGGATAAAATTATTTTCCTAAGCTATTCCCTTCCAACAGCATAAGACTTGGCAGTTATCACATGTAAATCTACGGTGCATTTAGTGAATTACAGTATAGACAAAGGCAACCGGTCTAACGACATGTCAGCTCTCCGCTAGACTGAGAGGTGTGTTCTTTTCGTTACTGCGATTCAAACGTTTTCGATAATAAGCATGCGGTATTTGATAAATTGGCTGACCAACTAGCTGACGAAGGAAAGATAACCACATTTTCACGCACACCTTAGCAAGCCTAGTACTTTCAGCAGTAACTTTTAATGGGCTGAGTAGATAATACAACATACCTTGTACATTTTCACCTCCTCCACTAAGATCTCGTCAGAATAGCCTAGGTACTCAACCCTTTTCAGCTTTTCAACCTTTCTTTGCAGGCTTGCATTTTCTTCGAAAGCTCTACGACACTTGAACGATTCTTCCTCTAACCGTGTGTTCTTCTCTATCAATGCCTCTTTCGACTTAAATCAGAAATTAAACAAAATTAACCTACTTCATGCATGAAAGGAGAAAGAGTTAAATTATTATGCCTACCGATAGACAAACACTATTTAATGAGAGACAATGTTTCTGGCTTCACGTATTAAGTCTATAATGCTAAATTGCACGAATACATGATTCCTAAAGCCAAGACCACTTTGACATCTCTTCATTCAGTTCTTTAATGCAATTGGCTCATCCAGCTACATATTACCTGTCTTGAAGAAAAGATTTGCTTATCCAAATTATTCACAGCTACTTGCAGCTGTTACTATGGTATAACCCAAAGCAGCACAATGTTCATACACTAGACAGGACCGAATGACTACAGAAGCAATCTGTCATAGATTCTGCATCGCCTATCTAAGACTAGAGCCCCGTAAATGACTACTACCCCAGTCAAATTCAAACAACGTTGGTTAATTCAATGTCACTAATTAAAATATAGGCCTGTTCAATCAAACACTATAAATTCAACTAGGCCTTCCAAAAATCGAGTCTTATGTTCTTTCTGGCAGCTGAATAAATGACTTTTTGCTACGCAAAGGGTTTCTCCGCGCAAAGGTTTTTCGACGCAAAGGCATTGGCCAATCGACCTATCATTGGTCTCCTATTTACCAATGGAGAGCAATCAGTCATTCAAAAGAATTCAAAGTTCGTTATCCTTTTTCATCCGGACAGACTTTAAAAAGAACAAAAAAATTTTTTATGGCTCTAGTGCTCACATTGTTTAAGTTATAAAACGACCTTTTCAATGGTTTTAGGTCGTGTGCCTGCTATTTCTCCACTACTATGATCAAACAAAGTTATACATACCTCGCCAAGTTGTTTGTTCACACTGTCAAGCTTAAAGGTTAGTTCTGCAGCTTGCTGTGTGGTTTCCAGGGCTTTTCTTTTGTGCATCTCGCCGGCCTGCACCCTAAGGCCAATCTCCTTCTCCATGCTCTGTACCGCTGATTGCAATGTCTTTTCCCTTTCTTCCAACCGTTTTAAGATTTCCTCAGCGCTCTGGTGCCGTGACGATACTGCATTAATCTGCTCTTGCAGGACCTCCTTTTCTTCTCTCAACAATTTCTGCACTTGGTTTGCTTTTATTCTCTAAAAAACAAAAAGTGTACTTATGATAATCACCTAACGTAACAACGTTTAGCACGCATTCACTCTAAACAATTCCTACATCCACCCTAAAATAAGACCCAACAACAGCCTGTCTCTCTAAAAGTAGGTTTTCCTTCACTGCACGATGTCTAGCATCATGACCTTTTGACATTAGCCATTTGGGCTACTGACCTTTTGACCTTTTTCTGCAAATAACCTTTTAACCTTTGACATAGATGGAACTTGGCAAGATCTCTTGCATTAGTGCAAAGAGGGTGATTGCCTCAGAAATAGCATCAATACATTTTTGTTAGCTTTGAGTACACAGAAAATCATCTGATATGTTGAACAGGAAAAGGAATATTACCTCTGACATGAGTTTCAAATTGGAGTCGTCTTTTTCCCTCAGCTGCTGCATCAAGCGAATATTTTGTTCTTGCATTTCCTCGAATGCTTGCTGGGTAAACTCCATTTCCGCTAGAAGCGCTTCCTCCTCCTGCAAAGCACAAAATCCAAGAATTACAATAATCGGCTGCCTTAAAATTGTCTATGTATTCATCTTATCTCTGGCATGCGAACGTATTGGAGAGGGGGGAGTGGGCTTGTGAGTGATAATCCTTTAAAAAACCCAATAACATGGTCTCATTGTCCAAAGCCTCGATTGAGTGAAATCATAAACAGCTGACCCCTCTTTAAAAAGACTAAACTGCCTTAAGTTTGGCCGTCAAACAAAATTGAACAAACCGAAGTATTTATTAGTAAAAACCACTGATGTGTATTTTCTGTAGCTGTAAATTTGAAATTACGAGCATTTTAAGTGCACTAAGTACATAAGTCTGTAATGTTTGCTTAGAAATAAACTTTCAAAACACTCATCTTGTTTATTTATGCTTTTTTCTGCCGTTGTTCGCATATTTTCAATTAGGCAGAATTTTCTGATTATACGCACGCATCTTAAAATTCCGTGCCCCGAGAAGGCCGGACAAGTGAATAAATACTGTAAGAAAGTTGCACGTTGTGCATTCACTAACTTGTATTTGTAAACCTGTCTCTATACAAAAACGAAACATTCAGTTTGCTTGCAGCGGCCATTATCAATATGTCCTCCATTGCAACACAGCCTCGTACACACTTAGAATGGTCGTAGTAACCAGCTACACATTACCTGTCATCACTTGTATTTCTTGAATTTAGGCCTAAGTTACAGCTGTAGTACCTGGGAATTGTTTGATAAACCTAGCATTGCCTTAAAGACAGGTAATATGTAGCTGGGTGAACCAATCTTAAGATATAGAAGCATTTGATCCAAAAAGAACTTCATCTTAACAATTTTATAGGACAACCGCAAGACAATCCCATACACGAGTTTTAATCAGGTCTGCGCCTGTAACGGAATAAGCGCTTGAAAAATCACCTGTTTTGTGTTAGCGAGCCTCTTCTGCAGCTGCGAAATAGTCTCGTCTGCATGCTTCAATCTACGATGGAGCTCGTCCTCGGACTTCTGGTTTTTTCTCTGCAATTCTCTGTTTAGCTGCTCGATCTTTTGATGTAGAGAAGATATTTCTTCTTTTAATTGCTTTTCGTTTTGTAACAGCTATAATACAAATAATCGATTTCAAAACGCAAGCATTTAAATTAGAAGAAAACTCATCATATCAGAGTTGCCTGTTTACATCGAACTTTGGGAGGGAGCTACAGGTTCCTTCTAAAAATCGACGAAAGGCAACTTCGAAGTCAATAAAACAACTTCAACTAATAGGAATAACAGAATCAAGAATTGCTATTTTAAATCCTTAATAAAAAACAATCCTCGAGATTTGCATAGCTTGTTTCTACCAGGTAGCTAAGCAAAATCAAATTAGCCAATCAGCGATCACATCCGGTTTGAAAGCCCATCTTGAGCAAATGGAGCAATGATCTGTTTATAGCTGCAATTACATGCGATGAATATTGATTCTCTGAAGTATTATACCTCAGAAACTCTTCAGAGTATAAACATCCGACAATAACCGAAGATTAGCAGGAAATTAACATCAGATGCCGATCGAAAGTAACGTGAGAGGAAGAACGACGCGTGTGGTTGGTTCCTCGTTTTGACCAATCAGTGAGATCGCTATCGCAACGTAAAGTTGAAGAATTAACAAGAGAAAAAAAACTGATATTCTCAATCTAAACGAACGCTTTCAGCAATCTCAGGAAGGATGGTTATTTCAGAAAGCAGTATATTCAATATCTTATCTCTTTACCTCAGATACGTCTCTTGACTCTTTGGCAACTTCTTTATACATATCCAAGAGCAATTTCATCTCTTTCTGGCTTTCTTTGGCATGTCTGAAAGCAAGAATGAAAATTTGACGTATTTTAGTTCAATGAGAACCTTACAGGCCGCGAACAACCCAACGCAATTTCATCTCATGCAATTAAATTATGTTTGCATCAGAGGTCAAAAGTCTCCCTGTCAGTCCTCCATCGAAAATGCAGTCAAAAAGAACAAATAACAGTTTGTTTATAATTGTTGTACATTTTTCAGATTGCAAGGACGGGGGGAGACTCAACCAGCAGAAGACTTACTATTCTTGATCCAGCAACTTGGCCTACAACAGCTGATTGATCGAATAACCCTACAACTCTTCGATTGACAGAATTTTTTATTCAATATATTCTTATAAGTTACTATTGAAAACAAGACTTCAGTAGAATGAGGCAACGCTTGCTTAGATATGACATAACTAGCACAAAATATTTCCAAATCAAACTACGGTAATTTGGTCTTTGTTCTAAAAAGTTCAAGGATTAACTAGCCATATCACAGCCGATATCAGATCTAACTGCAATTCGCACATTAAGAGGTATTTCATGGTGTTCTTTTAGGTTAAAACTACTAAAAACAAGATTGAATGGCATGGTATCTGTTGTAACTGGACTCCAGGATACCGTACATTCTTATGCTTTCTGTGAAATCAACACACAAGTTCTCCTTACTGTTAAGTTTCATAAGCCTGAAAGGAACAACTGATAACACGAATACCCACTATTTCGAACGATTTTTCATTTCTATTTGTTTGCAAAAGCCATTCACCTTCTCATCTGCCCACTATCTCGAACAAATTTCGATTTCTCTAAGGAATCTTTGATGACAGTAGATGTCGATCGTAAATAAAAAGCCAACAAGCACAGGTTACACACCAAAGTAAAAAAAATTGCGCTCACGCAAAGGAACATTACAGACAATGCTATTAACTCACTTTAGTTTTGTTTTCAACTCCTTCACTGTCTCGCTTTCATTAGCCTCACCCTTTAAAGGAGGCGACGGTGTTCTTTCCTTCTCCAACGCAGAGGCTTCATCTTGCCCACCTTTCTCCGTGTCTAGAACAGGCAGTAGCGGCGTACTCGTTCCATCCTTCGCAGTTTCCGACCCTGAAGCTTTCGCAGAAGCCTGTTGTTGGTTCTTCTCTCGCTCTTGTATTTCTTTTATCTTCACTTCCAGCTAAAGTTAAAAAAATTTTAATCATTATCCACAAAGAAGCTCCTGAAGCTGTCTCCAAAAAGCAAAATTTTGACACAGCTGCAAGATTTGTTTAAAGTGCAAAATAAATCTAAGATCTTTTGTGCGCACCCTTCCCCACAATTATTTTTATATACCAAAGTAGTTTAATTAATTTCTCAAAATGAATCAAACTCTATCTGTGTTTTCAATTCCCATCAAAACTTTAAGGGAATGATGGATAGCATACGATAGCACAACCCGTCAGTACTCCATTCAAAGTAAAAGCGTACGCATTCTAGCACCAGTTAAAACAAAATAAATAAGCAGAGATGCATGGAACTTATAACTTGATTCATCACAGACGAAGTGGTAAACAAGTTTGTTTTTTGCATAAAATTGCCAACTTCAGGCTACAATAACAAAGAATGCTTTGTCAACGTGAAAATTTCATGAAGGTGTCTGCTTTATCAAGAACCTTCAGATAAGCCTAAGCAGTGGCGGACACTTGGGGGGGGGGTGAGGGGGGGCGACTGCCCCCCAATACTTTAGAGGACAATGGTATATTGTTCTAAAACAATGGGAAATGTGACGTCATCTTATTAAAACAATAGGCTTGCCCCCCCAATATTTGATCAAGTGTCCGCCTCTGTGCCTAAGCCTAAAAAAGGTTCTTATATACAATGAGCTTAATCAAAGGAAGAAACCCTGAAGGCTCTGTAACTCCTAGGCTCTTCTTGGCGGGGATTATCTGTTTAAAAAATGAATAGCAGAAATGAGACATGGGAAGCATCACCTCATGCGCCCTACTCTGTGCCTCGGAGAGCTTTCGCTTGTACCTCATCACTTCGCCTTTCAACTGTTGATTGTGGTTCTAAAACAAGTAGAAGCCACATTGTAACATTGCATTGAAAATAAAACAGAATTTGCAATGCAAACAGAGAGAAGAAACAGACCAAAAAAGTAGAGAAAAAATATTTTCAAAGTGTTGATTAGGGAATTACAAAAAGACCATCAAAGATGACATATTAAAGGCATTTGACATTAAAAAGTGGCTTACAGCCACTAGACCGCCAGCGGTTGCCCAATCAAATTGCGCACAGAGAAAAACATGTGAAAAGCTTCCGCCTTTCTGAGAATTGGCGAAATTCTAGACCAGCGGTTTCACGATTTCACGTGAGCAAATTCCAATTCCTTTCATATGCGCGCATGAGGCAAATTCTTCTGATCAATTTGGCCTAAGTTATTTTTGGATTCGCTGTACTTATGCATACCAAATGCCTCTAAAGCCTTGGCCAAAATGGGCAACATTGTCGGGCAACATTCACAAATTCATAATGTTGCTCAAATGTTGTCCAGTTTGGCGCACCATGTCGGCCGACAAATTCATTAAGAAATTTGTTGCTCGAATGTTTGAACATGCTCAAACATTTTTCGGCAACATTTGTTGCTCAGCTCCAAATGTTGTCCAGTTTGGCCACATTGTCGAGCAACAATTCACCTTAAATTACCAACTTGCACAATGATGTATTGCAAAACAGTATGCTATACTCGATTCAAATAAAATGGCCTGTCAAAATTTAAGCTTTCAAGTTGATTGTACCGAATGGGAAGAAAACCATGGAGTAGAAGAATAGTTTAGGAAGAATAAAAAGTCTCGTCTCAAACAAGTCCAAATGCAAGCATTTTGAAAAAACAAATCAGCCAAATACTACCCGCGTGCTCGACCATAGAGTGCTAAGCAACAAAGGTGTTGTGATGTCAAAACAGCTTCCAGTAGCTGCAGCTTGCTTTCTATCTGCCATACTTATCCAAATTTTTGCTCAAATCAAATATGATGCGGAAAACCACATATTAGATCATATTTGGCACGCTGTTTTGACAACATCATCAAAAGATGCTGCACGACAATATTGCCCAGTTTGGCCATTATGTTTCGGCGACAAAAAAATTAACAAAATTTCGAGCAACATAGTTGCCTAGTTTGGCCAAGGCTTAACTGCAATTTAATTCCGGGTTCTTTTCATCTTATTTAAATGTCGTCCTTAGAGTAAACTTAATTTATATTCAAGTTTATTGATAGGGCATAGGTGAGTCACAAATACGACATAAGCATGGGCAACGAGCCTGATAAAAGGACAAATATTCCATGCAAATAGCATTATGAGGTAAGGAGCTTGGTTCCGTTAGTGGTGGCCTTTAAATCACCTGCTCCCTAAAGTTTTGTAGGCAGGTAGCAAACACTGTTTTAATAAACCTAAGATTGAGTTTCTTCTTGGATTTCGGGCTAATGAAAGTCAAATGTGCGGTTTATGTAAAATTCGACAGACCATGTCTTCATTTTTCTGAGCATAAGGTAATCAGTGACAAATATCAAGCTAAGATTTATACCTGCAGACTGTTGATAAGATGTCTCATTTCTTTAGCCATTGGTCCAATCTGCTCGTGAGCTTTCATGTTGTGTTCATACTCGACCCTCAGCAACTCAAGCTCTCTCTTTGACTCAAGCAGCAGTTTTTCTAATTGCGAAACCTCGTATCGAACTTTCTTGCGATTTGCTTGAGCCTCGGCCTGCAAAAGATGACTCACTTTCATGTGTGATTTGTTTGTGAGGATCGTTCAGTAGTTAGACTGGCGGGCTACAGATCAAACGGTAGAAGGCTTAAGTCCCTGGGATGACAAAACATATACTCCTTCGTTATTGTTTATAATCGCTGTTTGTTTGGTTAATACAAATGAACCAAATAAAAACACGCAAATACAAACTCCTGCACGGATAACAACAAAATGATCCCATTTGGAGTGGTAAAACAAATTTTTACCTAACGTGAACTGGAAGACCCACAGAAATTATCAATTGGAATAACGGGGAGTATTTGCTGTGTAGTTTGATATAGGCTGTCTTGTTGCAACAAAACTATTAGCAAAAAAACGTTAAATAAAATATTTTATATATTCACAGACGATTAAAGTTCAATATCACAACATATTCCGCTTTTCATAGCGGTTTTGTATATGCGACAACCAACGGGTAATTCTAGTTAAAACTTTATATGAAATACAATTCCACATATTGCATTTGTTTAAATCTCACCTCAATTTGCTCCATTTGCATTAAATGCTGGGTTCTATTTGCAATTATTATCTTCTTTGCTTCCTCAGCTTGGTTTCGAATCTAGAAAATATCATATTCTGGTTAAGATCTAGCCATAAATAGTGCCACAATATGATAGCAGAATGCGATAAACATGATTGGCCTAGACACTAGCAGGACAGTGAGTTTTGTCATTTCAAGATGCTAATCATTTCAAGAGGGCGAACACGTTGAATGTGTAGGATTAATCTGTGGGATTACTCACGTGCTGAGCCTCAGCAAAGAGAAGAGTGAACTGGTTTTGCAGTGTCTTGTACAGCGCAGAGTTCAAAACACCTTCATCAGAAACATCAAGCGTCTAAAAGAAAGAAATTCTTTTGTTAAGAACTATTCTCTGCTACTTTTACTTTAATGACGGGGAGTGAAGTACCGAATTAGCTTTCAAGTCATTTAGTGTTACCTTGCCACGATTTTATCAAATTATCTGCGATTAACTGCGATTTATGCAAAGGTGGTGATTAAAGAAATCAAAAGTGGGGATTATCCAAGATAAAAAATCTTAGCACATTAAATACACATTAACGGGTACATTGACCAATTCTAAACCAAACACAAACAAATTCGCTTAACGCAGCTAACACGAGCATAAATTAAAAGATGGTGTTAAATGGAAGGTTTGCAATACTTGCCAGTTTTACTCCCGTAAACTTCGGGGGTGGGGTGGGGTGGTGGTTAATGTTTGCAAATTAATCAAATAACAGATAAAGAGATCAATGCATACATATAAGTATTGATACTAAAGAATTGTTCATATACTTTGTTAGAGGTATTTTTAAAAAGCCTTGTACCCCTCACACACCCACCAAAAAAGACAACAGCCAAACAAGGAAGTCTCAGTCTTCCGCCCCAACTTACCTCGAGTTTGAGTTTCTCGCATTCTGTGGTAATGGCTGTATGACTCGTCTGAAGGGACTCAAGCTCTTCAAGTCTGCTTTTTGCCAATGCTCTCTGCTCCTCAAGCTCGTGTTTGATGTCATCCAACTGAAATAACGCATATTCTCATTGAAAATGGTGTGGGAACTGCAGAGTCGTCATGGGCAGGTCTAATAAAGATTACAACGTTACGATGATAGGACGTTTCTATGTTAAATAAGCCTTTCGAAAGACGAAATCTCCTGATGGCAGGAAAAAGCAGAACTTTGTGTACCATACCGAAGTATATTTACATGTGACACTACTCAGACTACAAAACATGAGCTACCTTCGGCTCACATTCATTCTGCTCACCTCCTGCTCACCCTCTGCTCATTACCGGGTGGGTCACAAGAAAAGCTTCGTCTAGATAGGCCATTGTCTCCTGGAAAAATTTACGCTTAAGCACGATACACCGGACGATAAAAGTAGAGAGTACCGGCTGCGCGAAAGTTGCGCGGAATATTCCGCCTAATGGACTACCGGCTGAACGCTGTTCTTTGCTTCAGAGTGATAACCTCATATCTACGTACCGTGAAGCCTCGAATTGCCCCCCCCCCTCGAAAAAGCCCCCCCCTCGAATAAGCCCCCATCCAAAAATATTAAAAATAAATAAGTCCCCAGGGGGCTGATTCGAGGATTTACGGTATATACTAAATATTTTTTCTGTTTTCGATGCAACAGTTTTTTCCAGTTAGCTGTATTCCAAAGAACTTTTTAACACAAATCATAGGAATTCTAATGCAAACCTGAGGATTTGACGCCACCGCACCGCCTGCAACAGCACCGCCAGCAGCACCACCGCCACTGGATTTCGCAGTTGGCGTGGATGGAACCGAGGCTTGGCCTCCTTTTGCGGTTGTCATTTCGTTTATTCTCTTGATCAACTTCTCGACTTGGTGTTGAGACTTTTGCAGGTCATATTGCATGTCTTGAAACTTGGTGTTGAGATCGCTCATCTCTCTTTGTGATGTGGAATACCGGTCATGGATGTCCGAGAACTAGAAAGAAATTGGAACATCAGTAAGTATCGCGGTAAAAAAACACTTCAGAGACGGCACGCAGGTTTCTGAAGTTTGAAGCAACGATTTTCTTGATCTAAACATTTGGTTACATAAATAACATTTATCTTGATATTGAAATGATTGATCTTAGCTGTACAGAGAACCTCGTTGCATTGACGTCATGGAGAAGTCTGGAGCCCTTAGAAATAAATTTGCTCAAAGGGCAATTCCTTGCAAAAATATTCAAAACTAAGGCAAAAAATAACGCGTTCCGCAGCACATTATCCTACAAAAATATTCTGGGAAAAAACTTCAAAATGTCATGCTTTTCGTATTTTAGTTGGGGCTTACTAAATTTGTCATCAAAATTTTAAAAATAAACTATTGCATATATAGACGTTACTGTTTGATCGGACTGTATATAAGTGCTCTATACTGTACAATCGGAGGTGCAGATAAAAAAATATCTGCAGCCATAACGGAGAGACACTTTCCACTAAGAAGTATTTCGGTGTTGTATGAGCATATTAATGGCAGCGTAACAATTGAGCATAACTTCAAGGGTAACCAATTTCAGTAGCAGCCCCCACTCCTCTTACGAACAAATTTTTATTTACATAATTTCCTGGGCTTAATTTTACCTCATTTGTCCAGACACAGTATTATAATAGTTACCTCTGGGGCTAACAAATTTTTAAAGTACTTTAAAATGCGCTTCAAATACTCAAACAGCTGTGAGAATGACCAAGAAAATTGATATTATCATTAACACATAGAACTGTGAATCAAAATTTGACATTTACCTCTGATGACATGTTATTGTATCGGTCATGAAGTGAAGTGACGAGATTATGCAGACGTTCATTCTCAGTCTTGAGCTCGGCATTTTCCTGCTTTATCGCGAGTTCAATTGATGCAATTGCAAATCCAGCTAAAAGCCAAATCAAATTGAAGCAGCGATTAAAGATGGTACTAAACAAGCGATTAGAGAAATGACTGGGGAAGAGATTACAGAAGCGATAAACGAAGCGATAAAAGAGGCGATAAAAAATGATTATTGAATCAAGTAATGAAAAGGCTACAAATGCGATTAGTGAAGTGAAGATTTCAGCAGTTTGCCATTTTCCAACTTATTTGGCGCCAGACCTTAGACCATTACCACCACTTAAAGTTAATCTCAATTTTTTAATCACCGGAAATGGCAAATTGGGAGATCTGCGATGAGCGCAGACAGTATACGATCAGGCTTAACTAACATTAACAAATAACAACAAACGTTTAAAAACATAACATTTCTTGAGAGATATTTGCAATTTACTTTCTGGACGAATATTTCCAATATCAAAGTATTTTTTAACAGAAAAGTATTTTCAAACACATTTTCTCACACAAATGCAAAAATGACAAAATTCTACCAACCTTCATCGGCTTCCTTCTTCAAGCTCTCCTTTTCTTCTTTCCTTTCCTCTTCTGTTTTCCCCTCCACTTTAATTTCCATCTTTACATCAGCATTGGCTGTTTTTTCATCCTTCTCTGCCTTGGGTTTCTTTGCTCCCAAGCCTGACCACTCTTCCAGCATCTTCCCTATATCTTTACCCCTCGTAATCCGCTTATCTATAAACTGTATCAACTGAGATATAATGCCATTTGAGAACGTGACTCGCTTGCCGATTTCTTCTTCTATACCTTTTGTCGTTCTGTTGTGAAGTCGATCAAGGAATGTGATAGTTGTATCACTCATAGCTGAAATGAAATATAAATCAAGATTTAAAGACCAATATTTTTCAAGGAGACTTTCCAGCGTCGTTTCAAAAAGTTATTTGCTTCCATTCACCTGATTACAACTTCTTTCCAAAAAGACAATCAAAGCAAGCAAGCACGCCTTTCTATCACTAGAATTATAACAAAGGTGTAGCCTTTAAGAGAAACGGAGCCCTGGCTTTTGTCTAAAGTTGAGACACACTTGTCTAAAATGGATGGCCTTTCTAGACATTTTAAAGAAAAAGTAATGAAACGTAAGGTCTCATGGAGACGAAACCTTCACCAGTCAGTTCACTCAAAGAAGAAGAGAGACACAATTTAGCCATAAATCTCCTTGCATGCCTCAATACACTGGACAGTCAACATTGCGCTATGAAAGAGAAAAATGAGGAGTCTTCTTGGCACTATGGAAACTTGTATGTACCTGGTACTTTTTATGTAGTTCAGATTTGCAGAACAAATACATTTTTGAGTCGTTAGTATCACCAAAAGTACCAGAAAACAATGGCACACTGGAACAATCGCCAACTCTTCCTGAGACGACCTGCTGACTGGGTCTCGCCAACATGGTTGTTAGGCCAACAAAATTGGTAATTTTGGTTCAATACGCACAATCATATAACAGACGGAGATAAAAAACAAAAAATCCGCCGAAAATCTTCACTTACGACAATTATTCTCCTCTTCTCCGCAATCACTAAATCTTTCAAGCATGATTAAAACATCCTTGTCCAGCTGCGGAGAAGAAACACAACAATAAAACTATGTTTCAACCATAATCATTTCCAGGCTACTGATAAATGTATCTTGGCAAATCGATTTCAAATACTACAAACCTGATACAAAGTTAAAGGCCTAAATATATATGAGCCTTCTATGCTCAATTGCACTGTTTTGAGCCTTTGTCTGCAGCATTGTGAGTTATGTTAGAATCGATATATTCTGCTCAAACAAACACTAAACTGATAAAATGAAGCTACTAATGTTGTCAATATTAGCTTTTATACTCTTTAGGACACTACTGATATTTCTTGTACAATATGTTTCTACATTCTTAAGAAAAATGTCGTAAATGAGGCCCCTGGTTTCACATTCAACCAATTCTATGCAAAAACTTCAAAGTTCTATCTGATTTGCTGTTGAAAAATAAGTACATTAAAAATAAAAATACTCTAAAATATACAGTTTTCTTAAAGAATTTTAAAAGCAAAAATACAGAAAGGCCAAGTCTATGCATTGTTGACAAGAAAGACAATTTTACCTGATTCCAGGCAACATTCAGTGTTGATATGATAGCTTGATCATTGGCTCTGAGTCTGTCAAGTTCCTGAACTTTTGCATTCTGCTCTTCAAGCAATACATTTTTCTCCTCAAGCTTTGCATACAACTTTGAATTTTGGAACTTTAAGACTTTGATATCAAGCTCTTCCTAGAAGCGAAAAAACAGAACACCCATGTGTTGAATTCAGGTGCAGGCATGTGGTCAAATATTAGGTGGGCAAGCCTATTGTTTTGATACAATGATGTCACATTTCCTAATTGTTTTAGAACAAAAGACCATTATTTTCCAAAATATTGTGGGGACAACTGACCCCCTTCCCCCATGGTCTCCACCACTGGTTTAAATGGATACAGATTGTTATGTATCCTGTAACATAAGGAAACAAACACACATAATATTGCCTACATATATCTTAGAAATTGCAATATAAATTGTATGACAATTTGCAAAAGAAACAGTTGGAGATTGTTTGTAGAGGACATTTTAGCCATAAAAAATTCAAGCAGATGGAGAAGAAGACTTCATAAAGCAATGGCTCAAACAATTTTATTTTGCAGCATTCACTTTAGATTAGCATGGACATAAAAAATAGCTATCTGAATCTATTTGTGTTTCTATTGAATGGTCAGAATACATTTCTTGTTAACAATGAAAGTCTGAGTTCACTTCTTATCAACTTTTTTCCTCTTTGCTGACATTCATTTACAAACCAATTCCAGGGCCCTTATTGATAACAGCACATTTGCTGCTGAAAAGGTAGTACTGTATATAAAAATATTTCATTATTCAACATAAATGTAAACATTTCTAAAAACTGTCATAAAAAAGGCTCTTTTCCAATGATTCCTTTACTTTTTGGTGGCATCTGATGTGAGATTTGGATCTCCATTTAACCAAAACAAAAAACAAACATAAACAGTCTCATAAATGGGAATTGATCATTTAATTCAAGTTAATACCTGCAGGGAAAGTCGCAGATTCACCTTTTTTAGAATCAGGTCATCCCACATGTATATCCTTAGTAGGCTGTCAATATCAAATTACCACAGCTATTTGCAATTACCTTGTGGTGTTTTCTAGAAGGCTTTGCTCTAGATAGCATATTTGTTTTAGCACAGTTATGCAGCACAAGTCACACTATTTTGTATGCCTTTTCCCCCTCTCATCTCTGTCCCCTTGTACTTGTTTCACCTTCCGCCTATATCCCGTTACATACTTCCTCCTGCCTCCTCTTGCCTCACTTTTTTCACACAAACATTTGATGGCAGGTGTATCAGTCTGATTGGTGGGGTAAAAAACTAAGGCAAAAACTAATGCACCAAAAGCCCAAGATGTTTTTCCTGAGAGTAGGGTTTTGTTTATCATAACTAAGGGATCCCCGCGTAGGAATAAATTAATTATAAATTAGGCAAGAAAACAAAGCTAATGCCAAAAAATTAATAATTTATGCTTCTTGGATCAGTAACTTCAATTTATACAGCAATAAAAATAAAAAAGCACATACCTCAGTCGCAACTGGTCCAATGTTTACAGATGGGATTGCAACAAAAGGTTTCTTAGATGGGGGCTCATCTTTAGCTGAAGTGGCCTGGCTGGATGACGCTGATCTCTTCCCAGACATGACTTCAGAACTGCTTAGTGCATTGATATAAACTATGAAATAAACAAACAAAACTAGCAACAGAAACACATACCAACAAAAAAACCAAAGGCCCAATATGGTAAAAAGGTTGGCTTGCAGTTATAAAGCCATGCTGTTTAAAAAACTTGATCATTGGAATAATCTGGGAAAACTGCTGAATGATGAAGCTCCTTTCCATTGATTTGTGTTCTTTACATATCAACTTAAATACCTCACATCAATGGTTAGGCATTGTCCCACAAATTATTGCCCAGGCCCATGGCACAAGACATATTACATCAAGCCAGTTTTTGGAAACAACTACTACAGATTACTAACTATAAATTATATCTGCAACCCTGTCTTGATCTTGAAACAGTACATCAAACTTAAAGATAGAAGCTGCTTATGTTGTGGTTGTTGTGTTGTTTTATTGTGATTGGCATGCAGTTGCATGTCATTCATGTGATTGGTTGTAGTTAATAGTATCCTACTGTTTAGTTGAATTTAGCATGCATTTATATTTGGGGAGGAAGATTTTTTAAGAGGTATTCAGGAAGCATTTTAAAGAGGATTTAAAGAGAAAGTTTTAATAGCGTTTAAGTAATAGTTCTAAATAGTTTCGTATTCATTAAGTATTGTCATCAAGTATTGCTGAATTGATTTTGTATATATCTGATTGAAACAATGGCGTCTCTGATTGAATCCAGCCTACCATAGCTGACAAACAAACATAACATTTATCCTATATTAGGAACCAAACTGCATATAATCTTGGCATCATCTTTTAAGTATAGCAAGTTTTGTTTCTAACCATAACTACCTGGTCCAAAGTTGAGTTAGGACTTCAATGAGGTTAGGACTTAGGTATCAAAGGGTAATGAAAACAACACTTTTGGTTCAAAATTATTTGATTCACATTTCTTCTTTACTTTCCCATCTCTTCAAGATCATAATTCCAATAAATCTTCGTCATGTCATCCAAAACTTGCATCGTTACTTTGCATTTTTTTATTGCGTTTTTAAAGCGATATTGTTTGTTTATGTTATAAGTAAAAGAATTCTTCTTAAGTGGGGGTTAGCTTTTTGTCATTTAAAGAGTATAACTTTTGTTCAAGAACTGTTTTGTGTACTGTACAATAATTCTTTACTTTCCTAATTCTTTTGTCCAATTTCTTCAATGATTTAAGTTTAAAGTCATTAAAAAGCAACAACTTTATATCAGATGCTTTTTCTAGGTGCTCACTTTTTTAAAGGACAAAGCAAACAGGACGGCGGCCTAATCAAGACGAGACGTGCCTCTGCTCTTTTAACTTTCCGTAGTTTCGTTAAAGAACCAATACAGTCAACTCAATAGTAGTTTAAACATTTCAATGGTAAAAGATCGTACTTATTTAAAATAAATATACTCACTCTTTCCTTCAACTCGTGCAGTTCTTTTCCATTATGTTTCTTTCATTCCACAGATGTCCTAAGTAGAATTCCAAATTCGATCGAGGCTCTCTCCTCCACAGTGGCAGAGGTTTGGCAGGAGCCACCACCGCTGATATGATCTAAATAAAACGCCTCACTTTTTTCCTACGGTAAATGCCCGGCAGCGCAAAGTGGGGATGAGGGGCACGTCCTTACCAGTGCTTGGCAGGGTGGATTTTTATTACGTCTACATTCGATGAAAAATTGTTAGTGGAGCGTAGGGATTTGACTTTACGATTTGAAACTGCCTCAACGTAGATAAAAGTTAGGCGATGGGCGTTCCCTGTTAGCAAAATTGGTGTCTCTAGTTAGTGAACGGGCGTGGCTTGATATTCTTGATTTGTCCCGTACAGCTCCTGCTCCTTGCCAGTTTTACGTTGTTGCTTTTCGTTGTCAAACTGGCAATGTTTTTAATCCAAGTTAATCAAATAAGTATTTGAATCTTGGACTGAAAGAGGTAAGATGAGCAAAGAAATAAATGGCTAATTAGCGTGAAACCAAGGATTGCAACTTAGAAGAGTTCTATTTAATACCAGCAGAAGAGTGAACTTCCAGAGTTCTTTAAGTTTAGGCCTTTCGCCTTGTATCATAGCTAGCTAGCTGTTGCACTTATCATATTTAGCTTTCCAGATATTTTTCTTTTTTGCTGGGAGTTTAGAAACTTTTTGCGGTGTCCCAGAACTACGAATACCCAGAGGAAAACCCTTTCAAGAAGTTTGGAAGGAAAAGGCTACCCAAACAGCCATGTTTCTGCGTCTGCGTCTCTGGACTATTGTCTGGGAAAATGACTTAAAAATAAACAAATAAGAACAGATCTGAACTTGCAGAAAAAGAACAAAAAAATCTCTGAAGAAATGAGTCACTAATTTTGATTCAATTCTTAAATAGTAGTCAAGCAAATTATCAAAAACTTTGAGAATCCCAATAAGTGTTTGTAAATTAATTGTTGCTGTTAGCTGTGCTGACAATTTTCGTATCTTCGTACAATAGCTTTTGGGAACCCATGTAAGTTGGATCTGAACCACTGGTTTATTTCACTATAACATAATCCGTGCTAAAACCATCGGCAGAATGCCTTTGCCCCTGACATGACAGTTGGGCTTAGTCCAATATCCAAACGCAGTCTTTATCCTTGTTTGCTACACCCGTAAGCTTTCCATTCCTGATCGCCAAATACTTCTTGCCATAATTCGCAAATATGACAACAGCTCTCTCACCAGTCGACATTGATTCGTCTGCAATGAGTTTCCACTCTTCAGCTCCATAATGCTGGGCTTTTGTGTAGATGTAGTCTCCGTTTGGATCATAACCTAAAGGAGGCAGGCATGCTGAATTACACAAAGATGACAGAAAAAAATTGGTACAGAACTACGTAGTTTGAGAGAAAAATATCTATTTCAAGATTTCAGCTTTTTTTAATTTTAAAACTATCAGATAAATCAAAATCGTCAAATAAAATCATTGAAGTAAAAACTGTCGCTAAAAGAGGATCAAACGAGTAACATTTTCTCAAGTCATTGTTCATGGCCCTTTCCAACTAATTATCAATCAATATAGATTGATTAGATGGCATCTAGCCCTCCCTAGGAATCGTAAACTTGCATTTCACATTGTAAAATAGATTGGGTTTCTATTTTAATCGTAGGACCCTCTATTATCTTGCGAACCTGACCTGTACCAAAAGCCACTATTCCATGAACTAGTTTTAGCTTCTGTTTTTGCTATCAAATTCAATATAACAGAACATATCTTAGGCTTAAAAGGCAGAGCTTATTATCAGTTGTTGTTTCAATATCATTTCGACCACTGTTATCTCTAGTTCATATCCAAATGAAAAGTGTCAAGAAATTGGTCAATTTTTTGGAGAATTGCGGTATCTGAAAACAATGCTCTCGAGTCAAAATCCATTATTGATTGTCCAGATGCTGCTCTTAATGGGTGTGTCTTTCGTTTGACATAAAAAACTTCATGATCCATTTTTCGTGATAGGCATTCATGTTAGTGGACATCAGACACCAAAACAATCAGACAGATGCCCTAAGAATCTTGGGACAGAGCTTGTGCCCCCTGCCCCCAAGACCAGGACCTATGTTTATATCAACCAGCTCTTTCTAAAGCTTTCCTTCAAATCCCCAACTCACCGAGATATCCATTTGTGGCATAGTTTTTGTAGTAGAAAATCTCTTTATTCCTTTCCTCAACCCAGTAGCTGGTTTCTTCTGGTTCATCGCGAAGCACCAGTGTGCTCCTGTTGCCACTTGCTGGGTGAAACTTGACTTGTCCTAAAGAAAAATAGATGATCTATTGATACGGTCTATCTTTTCACTAAGCCATCAGAGTTAATCAGCAAAAATAAGATCTAAAAAATAGGGTGGGGTATTGGTCCCAGGTGGCTTAGCCCCCTTTAAAAAAGGCTGAAAGAGGCAACGTCTGCATCTTGCAACTTTTTTTCAGATTCTCTTACAACTGCATACAATGCTTCTTGAATATTTTTGTTATAAAATATTCAAGAGTTTAGGTACAATTTTTATTATAAAAACGTCTCGCAGAAATTTTCATTTTCCTCAAAGTAGACTCCTTCTTGAGAAAATCGTTGAAGAAATGCCAAATACATCATTTTTGTGTTACGAGATTTAGTAAATTTCATTAAATTTGATAAAGTAAAATGAGATATAGTAAATATGAAATAGTCATAATGAAAAGAAAACTCGCTAAGGTTTCTCTGTATTTTTCTCCGTTCTTTGACATTAGACTTTCACTAATTCCATTCACATAAAAATCTGTACGTTATCTTAGCCCCTCGTAGCTTCTGGGCATAAACATTGAAGCTAAAGTCTTGTGAAATATTTATAACACTGCTCAGAAAAATAACAAAAATTAGTCAGATTTAAAAAGATAATTCCTGCAAATGAATAGAAAATTTTCTGGAAATTTTTTATTGACAAATATTAAGAAAGCTATGTTTAAACTTTATGTTCTACTAGGGTTTCTAGTAGAGAGAATAAAATCTTTCAAAATTCAACTCGATTTGTACCAGGGGTGTAATGCTCTCAAGGGGGGCTTTTGCGCAAAATGTTTTAAAAACAATAGCAAAAGTAGGTATTAAGGGGCTCAGCCCCCAAACCTCCCTAGCACTATACCCTTAATTTCAACTCATACCAAAATGTCTTTGAAATGCTTCTTTGATTATGCGAGAGATGTTATATTCCATATACTCTAATGGAAAAAGAAGGCCAAAGTGTAGACTCGCAGCTGCTGAGGGCCTAAGTCGTAGAATTTATCAAGAACAATTACAAGGCAAAAGGACTTGGCAATGATGGTTCGTGGTGGGAAAATGCATTCACGTTCTATGGAATATCGATTGAAAAAACCTTAGGGTCTATTTTGCAGCTTTGTGGTAAAAAATGGAGCGAAATTTTGAAACACAAGGTTTAGCTAAAAAACTAGTTAGTGTACCTGATTCTGCAAGAAATTTCCCTGTAATTAAATGCTTGAATGCGCGGCCTGGTCTAGTCTCAAGCTCCTTCGCAACAGCAGCGATTGTAGGTTCTGTTTTCTCCAACTGTCCTTGGGTTGTATGCATTATTTCTTTTGTGAGCGAAGAAATACTCTTTGCAAGATCTGCATCCGGTCTAAAATACAATTGTAATGGACATTCGCAATGGGGTTTGATCAAGAGCAAAATGTAGACTAAGCTAAATGAGATTCAAGATTGAGAAAAAACAATATTGTAATTATTAAAAGCCCAAGGTATTGGGGCAGACTCAGTCCTCTCCTCGTCAACCACAGCATTGACACCTTCCTTTGTTTGGCGAAGTTATCACTCGCCAAGCTATGACCACTTAAGGTGTTATTAGAATTTTTAAGTTATGGATGAAAAGCAATACGGCAAAATATGCCATCTCTACCTCTTGTTTCTACAGCAAAAAATATGTATCGACGCATAAGTTCGGGTTACTTGACTTATGAGTACGGTACCCCCTATATTTAACGTCCAGGGTGCTACCAAGTTCTTGCTGTCTAAATGAGAGACATCACATACAGTGTAACATTATAAAACGGGAGGCATGAAAAGCGAGAGGTATAAAAAATTGTTTGAATATGAAGCCGTTCAATTTTTCGCGATGCAGGTTGTTCATCAAACAGTGATGTTTTCTGAAATACTTCTTGTGCTTCAAGGAAAAAAAGAAAAATTTAGAAAAGGTCTAACATATTCTGATTTTGTATGCTATCCTACTCTCGTTTAAAATTATGAATCCAGCATCTTCCATTTTAAGTTCCCTAAACCACATACGCACTCAATATAAACTTGACACAAAACCTTAAATTTTCAGGAATATGTCTAAAGAAAATTAAAATAAATTTATTGTTTGTACATTTTTCGAGAATTTTTTCTTTTTTGAGCAAAAGTAAAATAACTCGATGAGATTGATTTTTCGCATATGGGTTTGGTTATACTGATTTATCGATTAAAATTCTTCATAATCTTTTGGCATCGCACAAACCTTGCAAAACAACAAAATAAACCGTTTAAAATAGACACAAATCAGTTATAAAATAACCACCAACAATTTGAAACTTAATGAACCTTTAGTTCTGTATAAAAAACATGTCAGTTTTGATCTTTGATGTACGCAACCTTCAATTTTCAAAAAGAATAATTGGTTGTTAGTTTTAACTAGGGGCCAATCTTATGGGAGCTGTAAGAGAGCCAGATTGGAAACTTTGTTTCTTGCGCGGGCAAATTCACACACCTGACTGCGCGACTGCGCGCCTGAAATCACCCACTTTTAAGAAATTTGTATTGTTATTAATGTAGAATGTATTCAAATAGGGACTTTGCGCGGGCAAAATGCAAAAGTGCGCGGATGGAATATTTGAGTGCGCGGGCAATATGTCGCGGGCGCGCGACAAAGTTTCCAGTCTGGTAAAAGAGTGTGATACCCCCGGGTCTTCAGCCGTTGGTCGATATAATCGAGTATAATCTTTCACTGACTTTTAAAATCGCTGGCCTGTCAGCAAAATAGCTTGACTGTATGTAGGTAACTGCCGCTTTTTACTATTCTTGATACCAGAGCCTCAGTGAAGAGTGGATCGAAAACAGTGGAAGGCCTTTTCGATCCATTCTTCAAACTGAAGCTCTGGTATCCACCCAGGGTAGATTTTGACTTAAAATTAGGAATTTAAGTTAATTGTACTACGAAAAATTAACGAATTTATTGATTTTATTACAACAGCACGCAAGCTAGTAGCTTTTGACTTACCTAAAATCCATCCACAACATTCCCGCAGTTATGATTCCGAGCCAGGCGGTTGCTTTCCAATCCTTTTGTGCCATGATTGGCACTATATCAACGTTTTGAGAATCAGCGTAATTCAGCTCCTTCTTGCAGTTTTTCGAGTCCTGTTAACAAGAAATGTAGATTTAGGGCCTGTTTATATGGAGAAAATCATCCCACCTTCCAGCCTGTGAGCTGAGAGGTGAGATCTCACTCTTCTATAGAATCCTTTGTGTTTTTCGTTTTGCGTTCATATGAAAAACAAGCCAGCCCGGTTAAGTGAGATCCCACTGCATGAGAGGTCAGATCTCGCTGAGGTGGGATGAATTTTTCCCATATAAACGCTGGAAGGTGGAATGAAGCTGGAAGGTTAGATGAAATTTTCATATAAACGCGACCAAATCTCGTCCCACTTGGGAGCTCACAGGCTGGAATTTGAGCTGATAATATCCATATACAGCTGGAAGGTGGGATAGAATCAGCATGTCAACATTTGGTGATTTCATCCCACCTGCCAGATTATGGGCTGAGGTAGGACAGATTTGCTCAAAGTTTCGAGTTTGTGCGCTCAAAGAGCATGCGCGTTTAAATTAAACAGTTTTATTAACAAAATAACCTGTAGAAATTAATAACCATCTGCATAGAAAAGGAATATTTGTTTTACTCTTTTATTACAAGCATCTCACGGTAGTTTCTTATGTCTAGTGGCTTTTTAACTCTCTAACAGCATCAAAGGCACACAAATAATAAGCTTCTTCTGCACTCTGTTATTGTTTATGACTTTCAATATTTTATCGAATTAACAATTTTGCAAAATATACTGATTTTTTCAAATGAAGGGCTTTTTACTCTTGCAAATAACGTGCGATATTTCCACCAAAAGAAACAGATTCATAGGGATTTTCCAAAGATTCATAGGGTAAAAAAAATAGGAATTCCAAAGGTGTGCAAGATTTTTAAGTAGTGAGGTGCCACCTCAATTCCCAAGACCTTGTTGAACTCCTTAGGCCAAGAAACGACCCCCCTCCCTTGATTGAAATGATGGATCGAAATAAAACGAAATAAAGCCACTTCTCACCTGGTACTTTGACGTCATGAATGGGCAAACAACTGCCGCATTCTCCACTCCAAAGGCCATACTGTGGAACAATAGAAAGATCCATCAATAACAAACGGCTTTAGCGTTTGTTATCAAAAGAAATTAGGACATAAAAGAAAGTGCTTCAATACAAAACTAGGCCAAAACCACAGTTAATAAATTGTTTTGAAAGTTTTTAAAAAGTCACCTAACCTGTCATTGATATTTCCTGACATACCCCCTTCAGTGTCCATCCAAACAGGGAGCCCCCTATCTTTCAAACCTTTGTAGACTTTCTTCACAAGGTCTTGTATATCCCATTGGTAGGATAGAAAAATATGCTTTGACATCTTGACCGTCTAAAACAGAAAGGATACTATATTATAGGTCTAAAGAAAAATTATCTACTGAAAAAGTAATGCATTACATGCAAAGCATTAGCAACGTGAAACAGGAAAATTACCAAAAACAATGATTTTAAGGCAGAGTAGAGCCTAACCATGTAACGGCATTCAGATTTTATCAGAAACGAAGCTGGCGCTGCAGAAGAATAACTTCCAGATGAATGAAACTCATAAATAAAAAAAGAAATTCTTATATCTGATAAAATAGGCGATTGAAGAAGGTGATAAATAACAAAAGCGGGTAGGCAACATAAACACTAGAAGAAAAGATGCGAGTAGGCGTGTACAATCATAGCACAACTCCAGTGGGCTGCTTTTGCATGCATCAACTTTCTTACGAGATGATGCATGCAGTAAACATCAATCAGGCTGAGACATTACGTTATGTAATCAAAATAACAAAATGTATTTACCTTGCTTACAAAATTAGTATTTGTTCGTCTTTGAGGGCGTCTACCAAACACTGCAGGTTCTTGTAGGCCGAGAGGTTCATTTGAAAACCTGCACAATGCTCATGTGGCTGCAATTTGAATATGAATGGAATGAAACATATTTGCCTAGCAACAAATTTTGATGGAAATGGCTGCACAATTGAAATATTTCTCTACATGGAGTAGTTGGACCCGAGGGAGAGGATATTGTTAATATGGGAGCAAAGTTAATCAGAACAGTAATGGAGTGTTCTTTAGGAGCAAAGAAGGGGTTAATATAATTTATTTTTAGGGATGAGGGGTACGAGCTACCAGCCCAAGAACAATGTATGCTTCGACCCAGTAAATGAAGAATGCCTCGATGGGTGGCATACAAACCTAGGAATGCAATAATAACTTAGAGCGCAAATCGCCTACAACTTCAGCTTGAAATAAATAAAACGTAATAAATCAACGTTGTAGAAAACGCTCCAGAGATTGCAGGAGGCTTAAATACAATACAGCATTTTTGCTTTATCTTTTTTATAAGATTCTAGAGCATAAAACAAACAGGGGATTAAGAGTAAGTGACTGTAATTATCACGATGGTTATTTCATGCATACAATCTTTTTTATACGAATTCTTAAATTCTGTCCAGCCTGGATAATCTTAAGAAATTTGGGTTTGGAGCCTGAATATATTTTTAGAGTATCTCCATCTTTTTAAACCTGCAATCCTGGCCAAAAGTTATTGGACTGGCTGGCAACGCTTATTTCTACTTATTTTGATTGCTGTTACTTGGGTATTTCTTAGAAAACCAACATTGCTGCAGGGGTGGGGAGTTTTGATAATATAATTGGGGTAAAGTTGCAATTTTAATGGCTTTTTACTCTAGTCCAATAGCCTTTTGGCCAGGATTGTGGTATCATTTCAGGGAAAAATCGTCTGATTTCAATAAAAACCACGTTTATTTTAAAAAAAACATGATATGTTAGTTTTGAAATTCCCTGTAATGAAAATAGCAAAACAGGTAACTGCTGAACAACGAGACACAGACATGCGAGCTAATGAACATTTTTATAAAATTCTTAAAATTGGATGATTCTGTGCTTGAAAATTCTTATAAACAATGTTCATGTAAAAAGGAAGAGTCTTGTAGAAATATATTAACACCACCTACGATTGGCTAAATACAAAAATACTCATTTGCATAACAATAGAGGAACATAAGAAGCATATATAAACAAAAACAGACACACGCAAAAACAACTACCATAAAAAACCCTAATAAGCAATACTTACATTAATTTTGCATAAGTTGATACCTGTATACTTCATTCTTATAAACAAGGTACCAAAGACACCGAGGGTCCCTAAGGTACCAGAACACAGATACTCATATAAACTCTTGGAAAATGTCAATGTACCGAAAGGCATTATTTGGTTTTTTTGCTTTTCATACTTCTCTATATCGCAGTTAACAAAAATTTTACGACATACCTTTCAGGTTCAAGACCATTGGTTGACATCAACACTGCAGTCACTTTTGGACTTTTTAACCCATGCTTATCTGAGCCCTGCAGAAGACCTTCATGTATGCGTACTAGCTGTCTGCCAGAAACTTTGAATTTGTGACGTCATTCAAAATGACAGTTAGTTTGCTTTTGAACGACGATTCAAGTATTTGACTTCTGCGAAATATAAATAATACATGCCAATGAAAAAACGACTCTGCAATCTATTCCTGTTTACTAGATATAATTTTTTGAGTTTGATGTGCTAGGTATCTATTTTGCTCACCCTTTCTGGTATACAATCATGGCACTCTGAAGGAAATCGATTGGTCGTGTGATTGATGACATGCAATTCAACTCATTCGAAAAAACAGGCAGACAAGGGAGACACGACTCGCAGGATGAACGCTACGCTAGAAATAATCTCACTCATGGAATATGTCGTTTTAATGTAAAGCTCGCATTATTAAGGAGTCTTTTCGTATGTAAATAAATAGAACATTCGCAGTGCTTTTTCGCTTTTGTCTTTTTATATATTATTAACAAGGAACCGGGAACCTTTCTGGAGTTTCGTCTCTATTAGAGGGACGAGGCGTTTGTACAGCGCAGGGTCATTCACTTGATCCCCCACACACTCTCCTCCACAGAGGCTATTGGGGAGGAAGATGGGGAGGAAGATGGGGAGGAAGATGGGGAGGAAGATGGGGAGGGAACAAGGGATAGGTTTAAAGGAACTGCGGAAGAAAAAAAGTGGAGAAGCTGTGAGAGAGAAGAAGGAAGAGACAGCTTCACAATTTCTCACTTCCAATCTCCCTCTCCATAGCCTCTGTGGAGGAGAGTATGATCAAGATGCGAAAAGATGTTGCTAGGCACACCGATGCCGCATTGTCCCGCAAGTGTATGGCATATTCCATAAACCTTAAAATATTCAGTTAAATGGTGAGAAAATTCTAGCCGAAAAATTATAATGAAACTATTACATAAAACATAAAAGTCTCAATCAAATTTGAAATATAGCCTTATGAATTTTAACCTCTACGAAATGTACCTCAATACGGTTTCCTTTATAATCACATTCTTAATGCTCTCTATACTGAAAGCTTATCCCAATTTATACTTTGTAGTATTATTAGACTACGCCTCTAAGTCTAACAGTTTGTGAGTCAACGAAATACTTCATACGATATCAGTCTTAAATGTTCAATATAAAGAATGTAGAAACGCTAAGAATAACAATGATAACAAAGCACTCACGACCTTTAGCTTGCTTGCTTTAGTATTGGCGACTTGTGGCGTCTTTGACTTAAACACTTCGAATGGCAACAGCGACGTCTTTCAAGCGACACACGCTTCGACTTTCTATCATCGGGAACCTGCGGCCACGATTCTTTTGGCAAGGCGGGAACGCCCACAGTGAAAAGCCCCCTACTCTAAAACAGGCAAGCTCTTTTATACCCTTTCTAAAATACAACTAACCAATAAGAAAACAGAACATGATAACAGCCAATTAAACACTAGAACAGAACATTAGTTAAAAAAGAATAAAAGTTAATAAAACGATGCTCACGCTGATACCCACGTGGACCAGCACGTGATACAAGTTCGACCTTCGTACCGTAACACAGGGGTTACAGTTTCCGTAACAGTTTCCAATATATGGCTAGAGATTTCTGTAAACTGACGGTCGTCAGAGATAACCTCAACTTTGTTCACTAGAAAAATCTTACTTTAGCGTCTTTATTTTGTTAAAGAATAGTGATTTGACTGTTTCCAATAAATTTTATTATCATTTATAAGTGTGACGGCTAAATTGTTGTAGTATCTGTTTTTCTCTGTTCTTAATAGTTTGATGCATAAGTTACGTTGACGATAAAATTTATTCCACTTTTCAGCTATTCTGTTTTTGTAATAATTTTTACGCAATCTACAATGTAACATGATAACATTCCGGAGTGTCTTAAGCCTGATTTACACGAGACGAATACTTCGTGCGAAGCAAGTTTCCCGCTGCGAATGCGCCAAAAATTAGAGCAGAAGTAGAGATTAGAAAATTCGCTGTGAATTTGCCACGAATAATTCACTTCGAAAAAAATAGAATCCATTCCTACTTTTTCGCTGCGAAATTTTTTGAATTGTAAAATAAACCAGTCAGAACAGCATTTGAAAATACCTGACTCTGTTCGCATTATTTTTCTCAAACAATCTCACTTATAGGCCCTATACAACGGCAATAAGGCCTTGTTCACACGATACCGGATTCACTTCATAGCAGATTCACTGACCCAATCCGGTATGAATATTAAGCTTTGTTCATACGATACCGGATTCATTTCATAGCAGATTCACTGACCCAATCCGATACGAATATTAAGCTCTGTTCACACGATACCGGATTCATTTTAAAGCAGATTCACTGACCCAATCCGATACGAATATTAAGCTCGGTTCACACGATAACGGATTCATTTTATAGCAGATTCACTGACCCAATCCGATATGAATATTAAGCTCTGTTCACATGATACCGGATTCATTTCATATCGTATTCACTGAACCAATCCGGTATGAATATTAAGCTTTGTTCATATGATACCGGATTCATTTCATAGCAGATTCACTGACCCAATCCGATACGAATATTAAGCTCTGTTCCCACGATACCGGATTCATTTTATAGCAGATTCACTGACCCAATCCGATATGAATATTAAGCTCTGTTCACATGATACCGGATTCATTTCATATCGGATTCACTGACCCAATCCGGTATGAATATTAAGCTTTGTTCATAGGATACCGGATTCATTTTATTGCAGATTCACTGACCCAATCCAATACGAATATTAAGCTCTGTTTACACGATACCGGATTTATTTCATATCGGATTGACTGACCCAATCCGGTATGAATATTAAGCTTTGTTCATACGATACCGGATTCATTTCATAGCAGATTCACTGACCCAATCCGATACGAATATTAAGCTCTGTTCACACGATACCGGATTCATTTTATAGCAGATTCACTGACCCAATCCGATATGAATATTAAGCTCTGTTCACATGATACCGGATTCATTTCATATCGGATTCACTGACCCAATCCGGTATGAATATTAAGCTTTGTTCATATGATACCGGATTCATTTCATAGCAGATTCACTGACCCAATCCAATACGAATATTAGGCTCTGTTCCCACGATACCGGATTCATTTTATAGCAGATTCACTGACCCAATCCGATATGAATATTAAGCTCTGTTCACATGATACCGGATTCATTTCATAGCAGATTCACTGACCCAATCCGATACGAATATTAAGCTCTGTTCACACGATACCGGATTCATTTTATAGCAGATTCACTGACCCAATCCGATATGAATATTAAGCTCTGTTCACATGATACCGGATTCATTTCATATCGGATTCTACTGACCCAATCCGGTATAATATTAAAGCTTTTTCATACGATACCGGATTCATTTCATAGCAGATTCACTGACCCAATCCGATACGAATATTAAGCTCTGTTCACACGATACCGGATTCATTTTATAGCAGATTCACTGACCCAATCCGATATGAATATTAAGCTCTGTTCACATGATACCGGATTCATTTCATATCGGATTCACTGACCCAATCCGGTATGAATATTAAGCTTTGTTCATATGATACCGGATTCATTTCATAGCAGATTCACTGACCCAATCCAATACGAATATTAGGCTCTGTTCCCACGATACCGGATTCATTTTATAGCAGATTCACTGACCCAATCCGATATGAATATTAAGCTCTGTTCACATGATACCGGATTCATTTCATATCGGATTCACTGACCCAATCCGATGCTAATAATAAGCTCTGTTCATACGATACCGGATTCATTTCATGCACTAACAGGATCTCGCATGCTTGTGCAAACTTCGATGGCGACCTTTGAAAGTATTTGGAAAAGCTATCCTGGTCATGTATGTGTAAATGTAAACCTCTCTTACCGAAAGAAAGAGTTTCCCCTTCTGAAGAAGTTCTGAATAAAAAAAATTTGTTGCCCATTATGGTTTTTTGCCGCTTTTGGAATAAAATTATCTTTGAAATTTGAAGCTTTCTGATAAAAGCACTCTTCGGAAAGTCGCTATAGTCCTTTGCAATATTTGCAGTGAATTTGAATAAAGATTTCTGCCAGTGTAAATTGAACTTCGAACTCGAGAGAAAAGTTCACAGCTAAAAAATTCGTGGCGAAAAATTCGCTTCGCTTGAAAAATCTTGAAAAATTCGCTTCGCCTCGTGTAAATCGACTGTAATCATAAAGGGTGCATCGTTTTTCTAACACAATTTTTCTTTGGTGGTGCATGTTTATTTGACGCATTATTCAAAAAGCAGTTTCAAACACTACATAGTTGGAATTTGAAGCATAGATGTTGCCAAGCTCTGTTCGCAAGTCTTGTCTAAAATTGGTTTGGTAATAATGTTTATAATTACGATAATTTATGACGGAGGAACCTTGCCTTGGGAAAGTGGTTTTCAATACAGTAATACAATAGTGTAATACAATACAATAAATTTATGAAAATCAGATAGGCCTGTTTCTATTTCATGTTGCATACTTTGATTACGAGTTGACAAACTTAAATCAATGCATGTTGGCGCCTCAGTCTTATAGCAGGTAAGTTTTTTTACCAGTTTCTTCACGCTATACGTCTTCAGAAAGTTTTATAAACGTTTATTCGTCTCTTCAGCATTGAAATCTCCCAACAACATCTGCGAGATTTTGATTTTCTGCCTTTAATGTATTCGGGGTTTATGCGATATCTTTCAGTGGATTTCATTCAATCATACTTTGGAGTTTGAGAAATGAATGACGAGTCAACAGAGATCTGAGATTTGTTCCCAGAGGAATTCTACAAGGCGAGACATTGGCTCGGATTCTCGCAGCAAACCCCCATGGTACCGATGTTAAGAGCCCGCCCACCTACAAAAGATGGAAACAGGTTGGCAAAGAAACAAATCTCAAGAAACAATTATAAATATAAACATATTGCAATGTATATGTTGATCTCGCAAGTTTCGAGTTCCGTGAAGAGATGGAAACAAATGGCTGCTCCAAAAAACCAAAAGAACTAAAGTCTGGGAGGAAAGATTCACTTGGGGTTTTGGAGGCTAAAAGAAAGAAAAAATAATCGACGGAGATCCGGACAAACGACGAAAATTGTGAAATTGAGGTTTAAAGTCGAGAGGATTGGACCTTTAGAGGTTTAGGTTCAGAGAAGAATGAAACATTGAAGAAATGCTGATTTCTGTGAGCGGCTTTACTTTTCTTTCCACGTCCATCTTATAACATTCCAAGGCTAAACTTTAGACTGAACGGCTAACACAAAGAGAGACGATTCTTCACAAACTCTAATACTTATTATATTCTAACAAACTTCTGTCAGTAATTGGGGTCAAAATTGTTTTATACTGTGTACTCTTGTCACCAATTTCTGAAAATTTCTCAGCACCCCCACTATCAATTGCATTGCTCCAGATTTGCTCTGGATACGATCCTGACAAGTTTTATGTGATTTTTGTCAATAATGCTCTTAATTAGAGGCACATAAATCTGAAAATATCGTCTAATGTAGTATAACTGACTTCTGTGCGGTACAATCTATTGGAGAATTCAACTGCAGAACGCTAGTTCTTAACATCAACGAAAAAATGAACGCAGAGAAAAGATCTTCCATTTCTTCTTACAACTCTACGTCTCTACTACTACTCCTGATTCACATGACATTTTTATGTTAGTCAACGAGGATATATGAAATGCGACAAAAATATAAGCCAATCAGAATAACGAAAGCGTACCCCGGGAACCGATCAAATGCTAACGTTTTGAATTTACTACAATAGTTTTATCATAGTCATGTCTTGCTAGATATTGCACATATGAGTAAATGATTGAAAACGAGGTTATCATAGGTAAACCATACAAATAGATTATGTTACTAACGACTTAGCACAGCATGAAGTGTCGTTAAGTGAATAACCTGCATTAAGCGGTTCTGCGCGTTGAGGGGTTTTTCCAACACAATCAGCTGCTTGATGTTTGCTTGTAGTGCAGTCTACGACGTTTGTGGAGACAAGGAACACATGAATTTTTAATCGACCTATAACTTAGTTTAAGTTTAGTTTTAATCGACCTATAACTCTGTATTCATATCTGCTCTCTATCAACACTGCAAATATGCTTCATAGAAAAAGTTTCCCTTGCCACGTTAACGTCATGAAACATCATTTAGTGAAAAAGATATCTCTTACTTATTGCTAAATGTGAAATAATGCTCAGCAAAGGAATGACAGTAAAAGGAAAATTCCATTTATTTTAAATAACTGCATCAAATAAATGAAAAACTAATAAGTTGAACGTGTAAAATTTCGAATCTAGCAAAAGGCTCCTCTCTGAATTCGGAATTTTACACGCTCAACTTGTCGAGCACGATATTTCTGATGTTTTGGGATTGAAGAGTTAATACGTCTACTTATGATGAAATTCTATACCGAAAATCCTCGAACAGGTCCCCAACCCCTCGAAAAGCCCCCTCCCCCTTCGAATAAACCTGTTGCTACATAGACGCTCTTCGAATTATACTCGTTATTCTGGTTTGTCCAGTTTCAAGAAACTCGTTAAAATAACTTGTTTATATCCTGTTTGTTGACTTGTTCATGTCTTCTACTTTCGGCTACAAGAATTGACTGACATCCTAACTATGTAACGGCGTGACAAGATAACTAACATAAAAATTACTACCAAAAAGGTAAAGTTAACAGCGCGAAAGGGGTGGTACCAGCGTACACAAGTCTTACGATAACCAAATATGGGTAGTACTAGGTAATAGCAATATCAACAGAACAGGCATGCCGCGAATGTAGACGTTGTTAGAAGCAAAGAAAGACGTAAGATGACAAAGCCGAATTGCTGTTGTTTTCTGAGGTTGTAAATCCTTTGACGTTTCTCTTTTATATACATAATTTTTTGTGAGGCTCGCAGTAGCTTTACAAACCCCACTCAAAATAAAGAATCGTTAAAAGCCCCCCCCTCGATTTGTTGATTGTTGCCATCTGAGGTTGCCTTTGGTGTTTTATTGAATTGCCACAAAAATTCATACTTTTGGTGATAAAAAATTAAATGTTAATAAAGAATATAAGCCCCTCTCCCTGAAGCCGCCCCCTCGAAAAAGCCCCCCTCGAATAACCCCCCATTCAAAAATATCAAAAATTAATAAGCCCCCAGGGGGCAAATTCGAGGATTTACGGTATATGAAATATTCTCAACAGTCTTTATTCTCTCTGATAACTTCTTAAATGGGTGAGATCACCACAAAATGGAGTTTCAATGAACCTCTTCTTCAAAAAAATGAATTGCCAGGGTATGATTATTCTTTATTACAGCATTGAAATCAAGTTCTTTTCCCATTGGCAAAAATGAGGCATTGAGTAGAAAAAATTTGGTGGCAAATTTGAAAGAAAAATCAAGAAAGCAAACTTCTTTAAATTACAAACCTTACTTTTAAAAAAAAGGAACTGTCACTTGAATAAAAGCAAGTAAGAAAATTTAACAAAAGACACATTCCTATCAACCTGTTTTATTCAATGGCTTTATCCTGTTTCTAATCTTAACAGCTCAAATTTGGCCGGCATGCTTTGCAATTTTTACGAAAGGTGAAATGACCTGAATTTTGTATTTTCCCATGGTACGATAATAGGCCGCTACCGAGAAAAGTCGCAAAGCATGCCGGTTGCACAAGACCCTTAAAACTCTCTATAGTAAAGTACTAGGAACTATGTTTTTGATATAAACCTCAGAGGTAGAAGATAACGAGGTGAATCTGATAAAAAAACTAAAGAATGATATCACTTCCGTTACCCTCTAAAAGGTTTTCAGAAAGGTCACCATTACGGGAATATGCTCCAAATTGTGAGCATGAGGTTTCACAAAGTCTAGAATTGCAAATTTTTCTTAAAATCTCCCAAAACAATCGACCAAACAACAGCACGAGCAGCAGGGAGTTGAGGGAGACTAGCATAACGCCAAGTCCCCACTTGTCTTTGCTTTGCTCGAGAATTTCGTCATCACCAATCGCACTATTTTGTGTTACACCATAGCACAGATTCACCGCTACAATCACTAGAGCCAGTAACTGCATCAAGTTGTCAAACTTGTCTTTCATTGGCCACATCCGAGCATGAGCAACAGCGAACAAAATGCTTAAGATTATAAGCCCAAACAACCCTATCTTTATGTTGTGCAGGACCAGAGCACTTGCAATGCTGATGATCAGTTTTCGAACCATTTCAGTCACCTCCCAGTACCAGCTTTCCGGCTTGTAGTTGCCGTAGAAGAGTCTAAGCGCCACGGCTACAACAGACTCCTCCGCAGCTGCCTCCTCGCCATCATCGTTAATTGACCCGGCGGGCTGCTGTCGCTGCGCATCATCAGTGTTCTTTTTGGGAGCTAACCGCCAGAGAAGAAGAAATAGCAGCAAAGGAAAGCCGAAGGGCAAAATTAAGGCTTCGTTTGCAGCTTTGGTTACAATTACGTCATCACTCGTGCCTGATGTACAGCTAACACGGTAATCCGATCGCAGGTACGAGACTCTGTGCAAGCACTGCCCGTCCTTTTCCGATGTACAGAATGCATGGCAGCTGGCGGGTTGGATTTGGAATATCTTGCTTGATGTCAAGGGGTAGGTCGCGAAAAGAAACAGAAATATGGCCTCGAGGCATTGCTGAACGTTCTTCCTAAGCCTCGTTCTGAACTCCACTGTATCCCTAACACAGCAGTAAGAGCAAAGTGATTTGATTGTTGTGTAAATACAAATTATGAAGGGAACAGTCGCGGTGGCAATGATGGCAAACCAGAATTCCTTGATGGCGTCCATGCGCCATTCTCGCTTTATGCAATGCAAAGCAGGTATATGGAAGATCGAGAACTGAATAAATTCAAAAACTCTGACAGCTTTTGTAAGATTTCCAGGCCAATGAATGTTTGGAAGAGCGTGTATGATGCCAACTAGCACTTGATAAAAACCAATGAGGATTTTCAATGTTGACAGAATTAAATCAGCAAATGTTTTGCTATCGTTTCCTGCGAGTTTCACTTTATCAACTTTGGACATTAACCAGCAAATAAAAACAAACGCCAAAAAGAATGCAACACACTGCACCGCTGCAATGACTGAAGAGGGACATTTAGTGCATTTACCAAAGTTTTTCATGCATCCCCCCTGACAAACTGCACATAATATTCCAGTGTAGCCTCGCTTACAATCAGCCTCTATGCCACCAAGGCAGGAGCCTTGTAGCGGGCATTTGTGTGCAGTGGGCATGTGACAATCGTACTTGATTGTAGCCCGGTCATATGTATCGTTCTTTGTATCCAGATTCTGCATAAAAGCCTTGTACAACGTCTTGCAAGATGTATTTGATGCAGATTGCATTGTTTGCCACGACATCCAATAGCCTCTAGTCAATTCCTTGTAATCTGTTTGACATGAAAACCCTTCTTGAGTACATTTTGTGCATCCTTGAAACCGATGACTTCTTGCAAAACCAGGCAAACATTTACACGCGCGATAAGCTGCGGAGCTGTTTGTATTTGTCCCAAAAGGGCATGTGAGACATTGCAATGGACTTTTCCCTGGTGCTTTATCTAGTGGCACAAACTGGCCTAATGGACAGGGCTTGCATGCAATGGCTGCCATTTCGTCCTGATAGAAAGCCCCAGCAGGGCAAGCAATACAGCCATCATTGCCGTAGTAGCCAACCTGACATGGCTTGCAGTCAAAGTGGTATCTCACCTTCAAGTTTTCAAAACATTGAAAGCCATCACCTTCAAGCGCTGTTGTTGCTGTTTTTATGACCAGCTTTCGAGTTGGGCTGCAAATCACTTTTGGATTAATATCAAAATGGTTTGGAACTTCGTCGAGACTGTTACATGATATGTAAATCTGCGAACCGTTCGGCATCTTCTGAAAGTCTGAGCTTCTAATAGACTTCAATTTATTTCCAAACAATAAAAGTTGGTAAGGGGGTGTTTTCACACCCTGAAAGATGCCATCGACGGTGCTTAATTCGTTGGCAAACAACGACAATTTTTTTATAGATAGGCCATTAAAAATGCCTTTTTGTAGGTTCTTGAGTTGATTTCGATGAAGAAACAGGTCTCCGATGTATTCAATACCTTCAAACGCATTAATTGCAATACTCTTAATGTTATTACTTTGCAGGTAAATTGCAAATACGTTACTCAGCTTCGGAAAGGTATTTTTCTCAATCATTTTAAGCTTGTTGTGAGACAAATCTAATGTGAGAACAAGGATTTTCGAGAAATTGTAGGATTCAATGAGGTTAAATGACAGATCCAAAGATGAAATTGATCGAACATTTAAATTCCTTGCCATTTTGAGCAAGTTGTTTTTCAAGTGTAAGTCGACAAGGCTTCTAATTCCAGTAAGATCCGGTAATGCCTTCAAACGATTATCGTTTATTTCAATTCTTCCTAGGTTTCTATTGTGTTGAAATGTTTTAGCTGGCAAATAAGTGAGTTTGTTTGTATTTATTTCTAGGACTCGGAGATCCTTGAGCTGATCAAACGCCCCCTTGGCAATGCTTTGCAAACCTGTGTGTGACAGAATAAGGGACCGGAGTTTCTTCAATGTATTCAAATCACTCCTACCAATCTTTTGCAGAACATTTCCGTCAAGGTTTAAGTTTGTGACGGATCTAGGAAAGATTGAAAACTGTCCATCTAAAATAATGTTGTTGCTTCTAAGTGCAATCTCCTTAAGATTGGGCGTTCTTTCCTCCTTGAAAAGTTCCTCCACTGCTTCAACATTTAACTGGTTCCCCGACATGTCAATAATTCGGAGGCTCTTTGGAAGAATAAATGTATCCTTAATAGAACATTCTCGTAAGACGAGCTTTTCTAGCTGCGTAAATCGAGCAAAAGAATTGTTTTGGAACTTTATTAATGGATTTTCAGAAAGATCAAGATAGCGAATGGATGATGGAATCTCTGATGGTAGTGTCTTTAGGCCAGCACCAATACACTGGACAGTAATTTGAGAACACTTGCAACGTTTTGGGCACTGATATCCCAATGTGCCAAGATGGGAAATGTACAGCCATGTCACCAGCAGCAAAATCAATTTATAACTCTCCATCGTGATATGACGTAATAGGCCTGATTGTCAGTCAATGCATCAACAATGCACCTACAGCCTCCCTCGCAAAACTAACACCTCTTTTTTCTTGTAGTTTGCCTTTTTATCTATTGACATCTGGTTACAGGAACAACCTAAAACGATTGTAGACAGAGAGACATGCTGGTAATTTATAAATTTCCAATTGAATATTACATTTTTCAAGAAAATGGTTCAACTTAGTGATAAAATTTTATCTATCTTCTAAGCTGACTGAGCCGAGAGCTTTATATTGCAATCATATTGCATGCAAGCCTCTGATGACTTTTTTGCACATCGATACACGTCAAGACATTAAGCTTGTATTCTTCTATTTTTATCATACTCATCACTTCGATACTCTGAATACTAGGGCCTATAACATTTGGTAACGATAAACACGATAACGATAAATGTCTAACTTGGTCGAAATATCCACGTGACTAAGGCCTTTTCTCCTCACTTTTCTCTCTCTATAGCTCTACCATTAGGACCTATCACATGCCTCGAGTCCGATGTAAATATCAAATTCTTCAGAACTTGTAGATACTGACAAAGCCGACCCAAATCATGATGATTTATGCAAAGATTCCGAGAATTACAGTTCCATTTAGCGATTCTGCTGTGTTGCATCAAGAAGAAGGAAAAGGTTCTAACTCCACCGTTGCATTTTTAGGAAAAGTGGAAAATGTCGCTCTGGAATATTTGTGGGCTTTTCATCCAAACGAGCCTACCAAAAACATACAATTTAAACGAAAATATGGTTTGCAGTAGTGGAGATGGCCCCAGTGAAGCGGCAGGCATACATCCTTTCCCCATATTTGTGATCGATGCATCATATTCGACAAATATTTAGACAAATTACAAAATACCAAGGAAAAACAGATTTTTTTATGTTTTGTTTGGTTTTTGTGAAAGTAGGGTAGCTCTTGAGGGATACAGAGAAGGCTCTCCGCAATGATGATACTAATCAAGAAGACAGAGATTTTACGTTGATGACCTAGGTTCAGGTACAAGGAATGTCGATGAAGCAAGATCTCGATAATTTGTATGCAATGGAAAGAATGCAAGCAGCAGGGTGTAGACTACGAAAATGGAAAAGTGACCCTACTCTAAACAGAGGGATTAGAGAAGAGACCAAATCAGAAGAAAAACAAACTATAGCAAAAGATTCAATGTATGCAAAAGAAGGCCTCAAGGGTACAAGTGCTAAAAGCAAAAAGCGTAAGGTTTAAAGGGCAACAATGGACAATGTGACTGATAGATTCGAGATTGACTTTACCAGGATGTGTGACATGCTTAACAAATATCATCCTACCAAAGAAAGGTATTTTGATTGTTTTAGCTTCTCTTTTTGATTCTCGTGGAATCTTAAGCCTGTTTATGTGACTGCTAAGATTTTGTTTCAGGATCTTTGTAAGTTAAATCTAGATTGGGATGAGGCTATACCTGAATCATTAGCACATGGAAATTGTGGCTAGAGGACCTCGTAAGGGTGCAAAATCTCAGTTTACCAAGTTGTCTTTATGATGATAATAGAGTTAAAGTAGGATCTGTAGCAAATCATGCACTTGATGCTGTAAGCAGCAAAGCATACTGCAGGGTTGTATATCTGGGATGTGAAACATCAGAAGGCGTCAAAGCAACATTGCATTGTACAAAAAGTAGAGTTGCTTCCTTGAATAAAACGACAATGCCCAGGTTAGAATTGTTATCAGCAAAGATCTTGGCCATTTTGAGGTAGACACTGTGATAGCAGTTTCCATTTCTCAATTGGAAATCACAAACATAAAGCTATAGCTAGACAGCAAGACAGTCTTAAATTGGATCCAGAGGCACAAGCGTTAGCCAACTAATGAATAGCAAGTTGTGGTGGGAAGGTCCTCATTGGCTGAAAGAAGGAAGAGAAAACTGGCCTCCACAAGAGGACATTGCTCCAAACTCTGAAGAGGATAATTGTGAGAGGAAGAAAAAGGTAACAGTAATGGTAACAACTATTGAACAACCTGCTGGATGTAAGCACAGTACTCTCACTAGATTGCTTAGAGCACCGTCATTCGTTTTCAGATTTGTTGGAAATTTAAAGACAAAGAAAGAAGGAAAAGCTTTGCGGTCGGACAAAATGAGTGCAGAAGGAATAGTAAGAACTAAAAGAGAATGGATAAAAGATGCACCATCATTGGTGAAAGGAAGTAAGGTATTTGAAAAAGTAAGAGTGTCACTGGGAATTGAAGATCAGAATGGTTTGCTCATTTGTAAAGGCAGGTTAGAAAATTCTGGCTTTAGCCTGGAAGCAAAGCATCCAATTTTTCTGCCAAAAAACACAAGCTGACAGAATTGATAGATGGAGATTGTCATGAGAGAGTTATGCATTGTTCAGTTAGAGGCACTTTAGCAGACTAAAGAGTCCAATTTAAGGTTACTATACAATTTGTAAAAAATGACTTACATTCATGTCTTGTTTGCAGGAAATTGGAAAGACGACCCTACCAACCATCAAGAACAGCACAAATGCCAGACTTCAGAGTAACAGAATCGATTCCATTTGCAAATGTTTGGATCGACTTTGCAGGCCCGTTGAGTAAAAGAATCTTTAGAGTAAAAGAATCGATTCCAGGAAATCTTTGTAGGCCCGTTGAGTAAAAGAATCAGGAGATCTTTATAGTCAAAGAATCGATTCCATTTGCAAATGTTTGGATCGACTTTGAAGGTATATATTTGTTTATTCTCCTGTTGCGTGACTAAAGCCCTGCATCTAGAGTTAGTTGAAGATTTATCTACTCCTACATTCTTAAACTGTTTAAAGATATTTTGTGCAAAAAGGGGCACCCCAGAAGTAATTAACTCTGATAACGCCAAGACATTCAAAGCAACTTCAAATTTTTTGAAGAAATTTCATGGAGACAGAGATGTTCACCCTTTTCTAGAATCTAAAAGAATTGACCTTTAACCTTGAGATAAGTCCTTGGCAAGGGGGGGGGGCAAGGAATTATAAGAAGTGTTAAGAGATATCTGTGTATAGTACCTGGAAATGATGTTGGGCGAAATGTTGGGTAAAATGTTGGATCGCTTGACCAGGGCTTTAAGATGCTACAGTTACTTGACGCATAGGGACATGAGCCAAGGAGGGGGGAGTGTTGGGGAACTTTGCTAACGCCTTTTGTAATCCATTCAATCCACCTGTTCATAATTTGTTAACAGATAATCGATAATAATGGATAATTGAATAGTCAGTGGCGTAGCTAGCGGTCATGCTTGTCATGCCGGGCATGACCATCTATTTCCAGAGATAACATTTTTCAAAAAATTATATTTTCGTAAGAATAAAGTCCTATTCTCCTGATGAAATAGCTCAGGCCATTTGCCTTTGGAGCCCTATGGTTCCACGCAAGACTATGGAGCTCTCCGAAGGCGCTCTTCTATTGTCGGGCATGACTAAAACAGAGGGTTTCCAATTTAGTCATGCCCATAACTATGAGCATGACCAAACCCTGTGTTTTAGTCATGCCCATAACGCTGGTTCCCTATGTTTGGTCATGCCTAACAATAGGAGTGACGCAGGAGAGAACAAAGGCTAGTCATGCCATTTCGAGAGGGCATGACCATCATTATAATCATCAGAACCGCCCTGTGTTATTTCGTGAACGCGAATGCGAGGCATCGATGTCGGCGCTGCTATGCCTAGTTCCACGAGATGGGAGGTAATTCCAGTAATTCTCTGTAATTAAAATGCAAGCAAAAGCTTATTGCCAAGCAGCCACGACTCATGTTAATCTCCAGAAACATTTTATGGCAATGACAGGGCTTTTTAGCCTTAATGGTGTTGCACTATGTGGAGAAGTGACAGGCACGAAAGGCCATTTTTGGACATAAAATCTGCGAGCAGGATCATTTTATGCAACCAAACCAAACTCTCAGCCTTTTCAGTAATCAATTGTTACTAGTTGAACATTTGCAGAGAATTTTCTTGATTTAATGAATGCCAAATCTTGGTGCTGTTCACTGGAGATGGATGGAGGAGATAGCAGTATTATTCTCCAAACCAACAGATTTGAGAGCTTAAACTTTCCAGACATTTAGCAGCATATTCAGAAACTGTTAAGCCCTTTAAAAGCATTGTTACCATATTATGATTAGGACAATAAGATTGTAGTTAATGGACAGGGAATGCCAAAACTTGCTTAAAGTTATTCTTCAACTTTTTGTTTATTATCACATGCAATAACACTGTTTTTACACACAATTTAAGTCAAACTCAAAGCTCTACTGACTTCACTTGTATTTGGAAGTACCTTTTTACTACTTATAGCTGTTGAAATAAAATGACCAGAGACAAGTAAAGCATGTTACTGATCTTGTTAGTTAAACAGTTTTATTTCATTATTACAACTTTTGATGTATTTGAAAATTTACAAGATCAAATTATTTCATTTACAACCCTTGTGTGCTAGATTTAGTAAGGACAATCCAATCATGTGGATATTTACCACAAGTATATGTGGAAACATCAATGTTTTTGTTAAGCTAAACTTATTTTGCAAGGTATTCTTCTATTAAGTCTAACTTTGCAGAAAACATTTTGCAACTAGGCCTACCCATTATTTTAGCTTCCTATATTTCATATCAATATTTACATTGCATATTCATTTGCCAATTTGTTTTATTCATCTATCAGTTCTATTGGGGTTGTTAGTTAATCGTGATGACTTTAAAATACCTTCAATAGATTGATAATAAGACTATTTGTGGAAAAGATGACCAAAAAGCTCCCATTCAGTTTCATGTGATTTATTGTTTCATTTACAAATTTTAGCTTATCTCTAAAATTTACAAATGTATTTCAGCCTGCAAATTGAAAGAAATTAGGAGAACAACACAATTTTTGATTTAAGCTCAGTTTATCTACTATACTAAACTAATGTTTTTTAATGTCTTTTGTACAGTTCTGTTTGGAAATTGCCAGAACTCTGTCTGTATAAATTACCAACAAACCAAAATAGTGTCACAGCTATAAGATAAACGTCATTTCATGGTGTAACAAGATGATTGCTATGAAATAAAAAAATTTCATTCTAAAAGTTAATCAAATTTTTTTTAGTCACAGGCCTTAAAATTAAAATTTCCAAAAGGAACTCATCAACTAAAAATTAGGCGTGGTAAAATTTGGCCACACCCATATTTTTTTCAAATTTTGAGGGGAGGGCATGACCACTGCTATTTGGCTAGCTACGCCACTGTGAATAGTGCTTTCAATTATCTTCCATTTCAGCCTGCTACAGTGACCTTTTCTTCATTCACACAGTGCTTTCAACGCCTTTAATTTTATTGATTCATGCTGTTAGATGCTTTTGTTAAGCACATATGTTAGAATCGTTCGAGCAGAGTTAATGTCGAAACGGGCTTGAAAACAGGTAAGAAAATCTATGCAACTCGCCTTTTTCTTCGGATTGCTTCTTGATTTAATGTTACAAAACAAATCTTAGCAAGCTTTTGAAAATAAGTACTAACAGAAGGCACAACAACAGAGGCGGATCTAGGGGGGTGCTATGGGTGCTTGAGCACCGGTCAGAATTTTCGGAGATATAACATTCAATGCATTTTCTCTAATCCCCTGAAAAACGTCTTGAATCCTTTTAGATGATGTAAATGTATTTTCCAGTAAACTGATGACATACGGTCATGCGTTAATTAGCATAACCTGTATCTGCTTTAAACTATAAATAGCTAGAAATTTCATGTTGAGCTGCCCTGGAACCAATTTTTTTACTTGTCAATCAAACCACACTCTCGGCCAATGAGCTACTTCAATTCTACGGGTGCTTGAGCACCCCTATCAATCAACCTCTAAGGTCAAAGTTGCAACTTAGCCAATCACATCACGCTCTGATATGTTTTTCTGCAATGTCGAGCACCCCTATCAATCAAAACAAGGCTTCAACCAATCCAATTGCCAAATTTCGGCTCATCTGAGCACCCCTATCAATCATTTAATATACACTGGCTGGTGCATACCGTCACTGAAACGACTAAACCTGTTCGTGTAGCAGCAATGGCGGACATAAAGTCGTTGCTGTTGCAGGTTTTCTCGATTATTGTTTGCCAGTCTAGAGTCGACTGAGGAAATTGAAACGGAAAACGAGCTTTTGAGTACTCAGTCAATCATGAAAGAAGTTTTTGATAAGAGCGTGGTGTCGTGACTTGTGGGAATACACAGATCGATGAGTTCGCTGAACTGCAATGCTAGTACTGTCCCGTGGAAGTTCTGACCTTCGGCCTTCCAGGTTGGTAGTTTCCTTTACCAGGCTTTAAATGCGAAACGTTTTAACAGAATATTTCTTGGATTAATTCGACAAAAAGTGGTGCCAAGGATTTTTGGTTGTTGGGTTGGTATGGTAATTACTACCAGAATGAATTCGATACCCATTTCTTGCCAAATGCAGATGACCCTAAAAACGTACTACTTCAACAAGGTATTTAGTAAAACAATCAATTTTTATCAACAAATTCTTACAAGTATTGATTTAAAGGCATTGAGTCATGGTAAATAGGCCTTCTCTATAGGGGGTCATTTGGATTCGGCGTGATCGCTGCTGCTTCATGTGACACTTGCATCTGTTGTTGACAACTTGCTATCGATGGAAATTGTTTTGTTAATCAGTACGAGGTGAGTTCATGTGACCAGTTCAAGGTCAACCAATAGCATGGCATTCATGAAAATCATGACTCGGCGGATTCTGGCACTTAGGGTATACCCAATCCATTTTATCATGACTCGATTATATTTAACTCAATTTTCGTATAGTAATGGTCAGTTAACGTAGCAATGATTCATTTTGCTTTTTTTTGTTTGAAACATTTTAGCTGCCTTTTTACAAAAATGAACCAGTGTCTGAATATTGCAGAGCAATCAAATATTGACTAACGACCTAAAATGTCATTCATTGATTAATGTGATGTACAAACTGCAAAGGTAGCAGTGTTATTTTTAACTAGCATTGCTAGCAAATAGGCTTCTAACAAAAGAGATATTTTTTTATATAGTTATGCTTTGATACCTGAATTTAAAAAAGATTAATTTATCAAGATGGGTGTTGCCTTCATTTAACCGTAAGTAAAAGTGGGGTGTGGCATTATTATGGCTATTAAGGCAACGCCCTTAAGCACCCCTCAGATTTTCCGCTGGATCCGCCTCTGAACAACCGTGTAAAGTACAGCATGACAACTTCACAATTTACGTAGTTTGAGGTTTAGAATATGACGCAAAACAGACCAAAGCCAAAAAATTCCTCCAAAACCAGGGTTTGGTATATTGGTTTTTGTAAGCCAAATTCCAGAAATTCCTTTTGGCTTAAAGTCATTTTTTGGCTTAATTTTGGCTTTTTCTCACAAATACGGGCATGAGTATTTATTTCCTACCTTTTTTCATCATTCTAACAGAAATTGACAATTCAAGAAGTCAATGCATATATTTTACTGTGATTTTGACACTTCGTTGAACATCTGCGATTTTATCCATCTTGTCCGATTGTTACGTGGTTTTCGCTTTGTTCTTAATTCTTTCTGTCTGTTGAAGCAGGGTTTGATGACCGCGATGCGAAAAGGGGGGGGGGGAGGTGGACTTGGAGGAGGTTGTGTCGTATGCACTGACTTTGTACTTTATCTAAATCCAATGATAAAATGCTGAGGAAAGGGTAAATATTGTGATAGCAAAAACGGCTAAGCCTAAAATTATCTGTTTGCTCCCCTGTCGCTTTGTTTTGATTTTACTAAAAATGCGCCCCCTTACATGTACATCATGTGTTAGAATTATATGAAGACAATGAAAAAGTGTTCTGTCAGTCAGTTGAAGAATACCTTAGCATTTTCACAAGAGTGGAGAATTTAAGCCATGGGTAGAGAAATACGTAAGGGTTAAAGGGGCTCAAGCACCCTATGTATTGAACAAAAAAGTTATTTCTATTAAACAATGCCTCGTTTACATTTTGGCTTAATTTGGCTTTTTTCCGACACTGATTTGGCTTGAAGCCCCCAAAGAGTCTACCAACCCTGTCCAAAACTATTTTAAGGGCATTGAACTTGGTACCAGTCCTCAAAATTAAAAAAAATCACTTGTGTATACCTGAAAAATTTTGAAATGACATGCCAAGAAAATAAGGTCCATAACTTACCCTTATTATATTTTTGGAATGTTGAACTTTGTCCTAGCCTGCCCTCCAGTCCGCAAATGGTGCCACATGCTGGGGCTGGGCAATAGACTGGGGCACATGCTCGGGGCCCATGTCACGAATTTGAAAGTAGGGAGGCAAGGATAGCAAAAGTAGGGGGCCAAGGCTTCTTTCCCCTATTACGGCAGCTTTAAAACTACTTGCCTTGCAAAAAAGTAGGGGGCCATGGCCATCCCCCCTCCCCCGTGGCGTGGACCCTGAAGCTAACTGCGTCTTAGTCAATTTCTTGCTCCAAATATTGGGGACAATTGGGTCTAAACACTCTTCGATAAATATACTTTTCTTCTTCAAATGGAAGTGTTCGGGCTATCAATTCAATAGTTCATGCCAATACGTGAACTTTTTCAATATAGTTAAACAAAAACAATTTCCTGTGTGTATTCAGTGCAAATGTCCATTAATTTTGCTGAGGCTTAAAGAAGCAGACAAATTTATACAAATCAGTAAAACATACTGAATACGTTTTGCTACAACTACAAAGATACACATTCACTTACCAAAGAACTCACGAAAAGCTATCGCTGATAGATAAAACCTTTTCGCCAAGTCTGAAATACTGATAAACAAATTAAACAAAGCTTGTTTTTGTCATAGAGATGGTTTTTCTACATTTGGAAACTTTGGCCAAGCATAGCGGCCTTGTCCGCATTCGTGAAATGATAAACAAACAGAGTGGAGCGACGGCCTTTGTTCAATTCGAGAAATCCAATGAGGTGGAGAAATCAGAGATAGCTGGCGGTGTTCAATTCATTTTCAAAGAATGAAATTCATGCTTGGTTGACGTAGCGTAATACTCTTGTGTGCTTAATTGTAGGGGAGGGTCATATTGCATTTTTCAAAATTTTTCACCCTTCTAAGCATTTTATAATGACCCCCCCATTTTATGGGAATCTCAAAGGATGACCAACCCCCTCATTTTATTATAACTCCCCCAATATTAGACATTTTAAACTTCTCAGAAAAAAATGGTTTGGCTCCATACAAAACTCTTTTTAAGAAACTCTTTTGCGAGAGGAAACTTCCTTTTGTTGGTTTAAACTCCGCTTGCTCGCTAAAGAGAAACAAAGCTTTTCAAAACTCAGAAATCGAACCTCTAATTGGACTTTGCTATTATTCACACACTTTGTATGGGCTTCCTTACCCTGGGTACCAGACTCACTATATATGAAATAAAATAGAGAGTCTGGTCTAGTGCGCCCCATTCTCGTTCTGGTGTGCTGACATTAACCAATCAGGAGCGAGTGTACAGATTTCTGTACGTTCAAAGGTCACGGCGAAACAATAAACGTAGCTCTGGTGTAAAACATTGAACAGAACAGAACATAAATAAATGCGAGCGACCGTAACGTTTGAGTTTAAAGATGCTGTTAAAACTGTACTCAAAGAATATTTTCCGCATGTTGTGGAACTTAACACAGAACAGCATTGAAAGCCTTGTTTGTAGAGAGAAGAGACACCTTTGCCATATTGCCAACTGGCTTTGGAAAGTCTCTGATATTTAAAGCTGTGCCTCTCCTTGGAAATAAATTAGGCCTTGTAGTAAAATGCAGTAAATAAGAAACACCGCAAGGCGCCGAGAACAAACAACAACAAACACAAGTAAATCAGTTATGGCTAATATTTCACCCGGCATACGGGGCTTCGCGTGTCGTATTGGCCATATTTGCTGTGGTGAACTTCAAACGTGATGATTCTAACCGCCGCGGTGTCCAAGCGCGCTGCCTTCACAGTGAGGAAGTAGACTTTGAAAGTACACACAATTTATGAGGAAAATTACAAAAGACTTATTTTAAGTTGTATACGAAATTTAATAATGATTAACATTAAATAACTGCATTGTGCTAACTTTAATTTCATGCTTCGCATATGTTTTTTGCTACCAAATGGCGTTTTAAACCTGATTTGATTGGAATCTTGAGGCAGAAAAGTCTATTACTGCTGTATTAATAATGTCGACTTTACAGAACTATATAAAACACATTTGCTTTGAGATTTCCCAAAACTCCTCTGACTACTGAGTTTCTTTGTTA